GGCACTCTGGTCCACACACAGAACGGCACACGGAAGTGGATATCACAGAGTTACTGCTGAGATCGCCTTCTTCAAGTGACACTCTGGTCCACACACAGAACGGCCCGCGGATTTGGATATCACAGAGTTACTGCTGAGATCGCCTTCTTCAAGTGACACTCTGGTCCACACACAGAACGGCCCGCGGAATTGGATATCACAGAGTTACTGCTGAGATCGCCTTCTTCAAGTGACACTCTGGTCCACACACAGAACGGCACACGGAAGTGGATATCATAGAGTTACCGCTGATATCCTCTTCTTCAAGTGGCACTCTGGTCCACACACAGAACGGCACACGGAAGTGGATATCACAGAGTTACTGCTGAGATCGCCTTCTTCAAGTGACACTCTGGTCCACACACAGAACGGCACACGGAAGTGGATATCACAGAGTTACTGCTGAGACCTTCTTCCTCAAGTGACACACTGGTCCACACACAGAACGGCCCGCAGAAGTGGATGTCAGAGTTACTGCTGAGATCGCCTTCTTCAAGTGACACTCTGGTCCACACACAGAACGGCACGCGGAAGTGGATATCACAGAGTTACCGCTGAGATCGCCTTCTTCAAGTGACACTCTGGTCCACACACAGAACGGCACGCGGAAGTGGATATCACAGAGTTACCGCTGAGATCCCCTTCTTCCAGTGACACTCTGGTCCACACACAGAACGGCACACGGAAGTGGATATCACAGAGTTACCGCTGAGATCCCCTTCTTCAAGTGACACTCTGGTCCACACACAGAACGGCACACGGAAGTGGATATCACAGAGTTACCGCTGAGACCTTCTTCTTCAAGTGACACTCTGGTCCACACACAGAACGACACACGGAAGCGGATATCACAGAGTTACCGCTGAGACCATCCTTCTTCAAGTGACACTCTGGTCCACACACAGAACAGCACACGGAAGTGGATATCACAGAGTTACCGCTGAGATCCCCTTCTTCCAGTGACACTCTGGTCCACACACAGAACGGCACACGGAAGTGGATATCACAGAGTTACCGCTGAGATCCCCTTCTTCAAGTGACACTCTGGTCCACACACAGAACGGCACACGGAAGCGGATATCACAGAGTTACCGCTGAGACCTCCTTCTTCAAGTGACACTCTGGTCCACACACAGAACGGCACACGGAAGTGGATATCACAGAGTTACCGCTGAGATCCCCTTCTTCAAGTGGCACCCTGGTCCACACACAGAACGGCACACGGAAGTGGATATCACAGAGTTACCGCTGAGATCCCCTTCTTCAAGTGACACTCTGGTCCACACACAGAACGGCACACGGAAGTGGATATCACAGAGTTACCGCTGAGATCCTCTTCTTCCAGTGACACTCTGGTCCACACACAGAACGGCACACGGAAGCGGATATCACAGAGTTACCGCTGATATCCTCTTCTTCAAGTGGCACTCTGGTCCACACACAGAACGGCACACGGAAGTGGATATCACAGAGTTACTGCTGAGATCGCCTTCTTCAAGTGACACTCTGGTCCACACACAGAACGGCCCGCGGAATTGGATATCACAGAGTTACTGCTGAGATCGCCTTCTTCAAGTGACACTCTGGTCCACACACAGAACGGCACACGGAAGTGGATATCATAGAGTTACCGCTGATATCCTCTTCTTCAAGTGGCACTCTGGTCCACACACAGAACGGCACACGGAAGTGGATATCACAGAGTTACTGCTGAGATCGCCTTCTTCAAGTGACACTCTGGTCCACACACAGAACGGCACACGGAAGTGGATATCACAGAGTTACTGCTGAGACCTTCTTCCTCAAGTGACACACTGGTCCACACACAGAACGGCCCCCAGAAGTGGATGTCAGAGTTACTGCTGAGATCGCCTTCTTCAAGTGACACTCTGGTCCACACACAGAACGGCACGCGGAAGTGGATATCACAGAGTTACCGCTGAGATCGCCTTCTTCAAGTGACACTCTGGTCCACACACAGAACGGCACGCGGAAGTGGATATCACAGAGTTACCGCTGAGATCCCCTTCTTCCAGTGACACTCTGGTCCACACACGGAACGGCACACGGAAGTGGATATCACAGAGTTACCGCTGAGATCCCCTTCTTCAAGTGACACTCTGGTCCACACACAGAATGGCACACGGAAGTGGATATCACAGAGTTACCGCTGAGACCTTCTTCTTCAAGTGACACTCTGGTCCACACACAGAACGACACACGGAAGCGGATATCACAGAGTTACCGCTGAGACCTCCTTCTTCAAGTGACACTCTGGTCCACACACAGAACAGCACACGGAAGTGGATATCACAGAGTTACCGCTGAGATCCCCTTCTTCCAGTGACACTCTGGTCCACACACAGAACGGCACACGGAAGTGGATATCACAGAGTTACCGCTGAGATCCCCTTCTTCAAGTGACACTCTGGTCCACACACAGAACGGCACACGGAAGCGGATATCACAGAGTTACCGCTGAGACCTCCTTCTTCAAGTGACACTCTGGTCCACACACAGAACGGCACACGGAAGTGGATATCACAGAGTTACCGCTGAGATCCCCTTCTTCAAGTGGCACCCTGGTCCACACACAGAACGGCACACGGAAGTGGATATCACAGAGTTACCGCTGAGATCCCCTTCTTCAAGTGACACTCTGGTCCACACACAGAACGGCACACGGAAGTGGATATCACAGAGTTACCGCTGAGATCCTCTTCTTCCAGTGACACTCTGGTCCACACACAGAACGGCACACGGAAGTGGATATCACAGAGTTACCGCTGAGATCCCCTTCTTGAAGTGACACTGGTCCACACACAGAACGGCACGCGGAGGTGGATATCACAGAGTTACCGCTGAGATCCTCTTCTTCAAGTGGCACTCTGGTCCACACACAGAACGGCACGCGGAAGTGGATATCACAGAGTTACCGCTGAGATCCCCTTCTTGAAGTGACACTCTGGTCCACACACAGAACGGCACACGGAAGTGGATATCACAGAGTTACCGCTGAGATCCCCTTCTTGAAGTGACACTCTGGTCCACACACAGAACGGCACACGGAAGTGGATATCACAGAGTTACCGCTGAGATCCCCTTCTTGAAGTGACACTCTGGTCCACACACAGAACGGCACGCGGAGGTGGATATCACAGAGTTACCGCTGAGATCTTCTTCTTCAAGTGGCACTCTGGTCCACACACAGAACGGCACGCGGAAGTGGATATCACATAACTACCGCTGAGACCGCCTTCTTCAAGTGACACTCTGGTCCACACACAGAACGGCACACGGAAGCGACCAAAGTTATACATAAATAATGGCAGAACTCCACGACTCCAGGAAGTGGGCCCGCAGCTTGCCACAGCGTAAGGGGCTGTGGTGATTTACAGCCAATGTGAGTTGAGCGTGGACAATTAGACCCGTAAAAATGATTGTTTAAAAAAATAATGATAGAATATAGTATTGTCATCAGTGTGACATACCTATACCAAGTTTGCAGTCGATACGACATTGGGAAGACGGGTGAAATTGAGTTACAAGATTTGAGGATACGACAACACACAGAGTAAGTGAAATAAAAGCGTGTAAAATGTAAAAATATATATGTTTTGGATTTTTTATGATAGAATATAGTCTTGTCATCAGTATGACAAAGGTATTTAAAGTTTGCAGTCGATAGCACATTGGGAAGTGGGTAAAAATTGAGTTATAATATTTTTGAGGATACGACAACAGACAGAGCGAGTAAAATAAAAGCGTGTAAAATAGTTTTTGTTGGGTCAGATCGCGTAAATATGTGTCGTTAAACCCGCCACCACCCGACACAGCCAATTAGAAAAAGGTTTGTCACCTAAACAGTACGTGCCAATTAGTTACTAGTTCGGCACAAAGGTTGTGTTGGAGAGTAAACCCACAACATTTACAATTCTAGTAATTAGTAATTACAACCAGGAGTTGTGGAGGAATCCTTCAGCTTCGTTCTGACGCAGACGGGGGATTAAGGCGATGACGCAGAAGTGGACATGACAGAGCTACATCCGAGATCCCCTTATTCAATTAGGGGCCGTCCATAAATGACGTCACGCGATTTTGGACAAGTTTTGACCCCAAATGTCTGACCCCCCCCCCCCCCCCCAGGTGCGTGACGTCATTTATGGACAGGGGGTAGCACTTTGAGACAGGTTACGTTAACCAATTACCTACTTTTACCAATAATCAACTAAGGAACGTATCCATACAGCACTGTGCTGATAAAATTTTCCTCGATTCATAGTTAGCACTCGATCCATAGTTAGCACTCGATCCAACAATCGATTATTTTACCATAGCAACGCATGTGGAATCGTCTGGCGGTTTACACTACGAATCAAGAAAATCGATTACAGTCACCCGACTCCCCGCACACGAATCAAAAGCGAGGATCTGTACACGAGGAATCGATTTGCGATTCTCAGCTCGATTCATTGCGCTGACAATCTTCCGTGGGGGACGCGCGATGCGATCCGTAGACCGTAACATCGATTCACATTTATCGATTCCGATTCCGTTCAACTCGGTGCTCTATGCAGAATCGTGAGTTCGATTTAATTGGTCGAGCCGATTTCGATTCTGACAGTCGCCGCACACGTGGGTACACAAGCGACATCGCGTCTCCTCCCGTGTCCCCGTGAGTCCCCCGTGTCCCCGACTTGTCTCCGGAGTCCCACGGTGTCTCCCCGTCGTGTCCTTCTGTGTCTCCGTCTCTACCCCCACCCCCCCGTGTCTTTACGGCAACGTACGGTGTAAAAGAAGTTCGACATTCGTACGTGACCCCTGCGTTTCTGTGTTTCCAGTGTCCACGTGTCTCCCTCCGTGTCTGTGGTGACCCCCCTCGTGACCCCCCCACTGTGACCCCCCCCCCCCCGTGACCCCCCCCCCCCGTGACCCCCTCCCCCCTGTGCCCCACACCCCCCCCCCCCGGCCATGTCGTTCCGCTGGGGGCTCGTGAACGGCGCGGGCTTCTCGCTCTCTGGCCTGGCGCTGCTCGAGTTGTGGCTGCGGCGTCGCAAGCAGCAGCAGCAGCAGGGGGCGGACACGACTCGTGAGTGGGGGGGGGGAGTAGGGGGGGTCAACAGGGGGGGGGGGTCAACGGAAGGGGGGGTGTGAACGGAGGGAGAGGGGCTGAACGGGGGGGGGGGTTGAACGGAGGGGGGGGTGAACGGAGGGGGGGGGAGGGTGAACGGAGTAAGGGGGGGGTGAACAGAGGGGGGGTGGAGGGGGGGTGAACGGAGGGGGGGGGGGTGTGTGAACGGAGGGGGGGGGTCAACGGAGGGGGGGGATCAACGGAGGGAGGGGGGGTGTGAACGGAGGGGGGGTCAACAGAGGGGTCAACGGGGGGGGTGTGAACGGAGGGGGGGTCAACGGAGGGGGGGGTCAACGGAGGGGGGGTCAACGGAGGGGGGTGTGAACGGGGGGGGGGGTCAACAGAGGGGTCAACGGAGGGGAGGGGGTCAAAGGAGGGAGGGGGGGTCAACAGAGGAGGGGGTGTGACCGGAGGGGGGGTCAACGGAGGGGGGGGGTCAACGGAGGGGGGGTCAACGGAGGGGGGGGGTCAACGGAGGGGGGGTCAACGGAGGGAGGGGGGTGTGACCGGAGGGGGGGGGTCAACAGAGGGGTCAACGGAGGGGGGGGGTCAACGGAGGGGGGGTCAACGGAGGGAGAGGGGTGTGACCGGAGGGGGGGTCAACAGAGGGGTCAACAGAGGGGTCAACGGGGGGGGTGTGAACGGAGGGGGGGTCAACGGAGGGGGGTGTGAACGGGGGGGGGGTCAACATAGGGGTCAACGGAGGGGAGGGGGTCAAAGGAGGGAGGGGGGGTCAACAGAGGAGGGGGTGTGACCGGAGGGGGGGTCAACGGAGGGGGGGGTCAACGGAGGGGGGGGTCAACGGAGGGGGGGTCAACGGAGGGAGGGGGGGTGTGACCGGAGGGGGGGGTCAACAGAGGGGTCAACGGAGGGGGGGGGGGTGTGAACGGAGGGGGGGGGTCAACAGAGGGGTCAACGGAGGGGGATAGGGGGGGGACGGAGAGGGAACGCCAAGTAACTCGATTGACGACAAAAAGAAACCCGTACCAATGAACTCGCGTGTCAGCTCGTCGTTACCAACACGTGGGTTGGAAACCCGCGCGTACAGATGTGGATAGACGATGGCAATGAACCCACTTGCTGTACTGCCATCATACCACGGCAACAATCGAGGTGTTTGGGTGAGATCGCGTAAGCCAGATTCGCCCGATGATGCTGGATGTAATTACCGGCGAAACGTCGGACTCAAGATTGTAAATGTTGTGGATTCACTTGGCGTTTTGTTTACGTGACAAATCCCCTCACCGGTTGGCCGTGTCGGGTGGTGGCGGCTCTAACGACACATTTGTACTCGCGCCATCTCACCCAACAACCTCTATGATCTTGTTGGTTCTTTCGGTAAAGTCACGTAGAAGGGAAATAATAAAATAATAAAATTAAAACATAATAAAATACAATTCTCACGACGTTTCGGCCACAACGCAAGCAGCCGTCCTCAGGTGAAGAACAGGTCTTTCGGAAAGACAGCGTCTGAATGAACACCACCGTTGCGTTGTGGCCGAAACGTCGTGAGAATTATTTTATTATGTTTTATTTTTTATAATTTTAGTATTTCCCTTCTACGTGACTTTACCGAAAGAACCAAGAAGATGAATCCCTGCAGTCACGAAAGCTTTAAATCGAAACCTCTATGAAGAACAACATTGGTCGCGAAAGCCTTCGTGTGAAACATACCACGGTCAAGGCAGGTAGTTGACGACCTCCACGACCGGCATATCCCGTGTCCCCGTACCCCCTTACCCACACGTAGTGCCCCCCCTCCCCCCGTGTCCACCCCCGCCCCCCCCGTGTGTGAGCAGAGTCCCCCCCCGAGGGGGGAGGGTCCCCGCTGGAGCGCTGGGGGCTGCCGGACCGCGGCGCGAGCCCCCGCGTCTACGCGCACCACGCACTCTCGTACGACCGGGCGCGGCGCGGCCCGGCCTGGGTGGCCGAGCACCTCACCCTGGCCTGCTTCAGCGGTGCGCACGCCAACCCCACTCACTCACCTGGCGGCTCACCTGCTCACTCACCTGGCAGCTCACCTGTTCACTCACCTGGCTGTTCACCTGCTCACTCACCTGGCGGCTCACCTGTTCACTCACCTGACAGCTCACCTGTTCACTCACCTGGCTGTTCACCTGCTCACTCACCTGGCGGCTCACCTGTTCACTCACCTGGCAGTTCACTTGGCAGCTCACCTATTAGCTCACCTGTTCACTCACCTGTTCACTCACCTATTAGCTCACCTGGCAGCCCATCTGTTTACTCACCTGGCGGCTCACTTGTTTATTCACCTGTTCACTCACCTGGCAGCTCACCTGGCAGCTCACCTGTTCACTCACCTGTTCACTCACCTGGCAGCTCACCTATTATCTCACCTGGCAGCCCATCTGGCGACTCGTTCACCTCACAGCTCACCTGCTTGGCTATTCACCGAGCAACTCACCTGGCTCTTCACTCACCCCCCCCCCACCCCCTTCCCCCACTCCCCCCCACCACCACCACCGCCGCTCCCCCCCCCCCCCCCCCCACATATACACAGGCGACGCCAACCGCAAGCACTGCCACTTCCACCCCGACCCGGGCATCGAGCCCCGGTTCTCCGCCTCGGACTCGGACTTCCGGGACAGCGGGTGGTCGCGCGGCCACATGGCCCCGGCCGAGGACAACAAGTTCAGCCAGGTGGGCAGTCCACCTCGCGATGTTCCAAGTTCAGGGGTCAACACTCGGTGACTCGTGAGAACGAGGAGCGTTCTGCACGCAGAGGGCAGGAGGAGATGCGGAGGAGTTGGCATCGCTGGGAGCCGAGGTTCCACTCCGGGTTTCAACTCCAACCGCAGCGATTGTTAGACCCGTAGACTCGCGCAGAGACCCATAGACTCGCACAGAGACCCGTAGACTCGCACAGAGACCCGTAGACTCGCACAGAGACCCATAGACTCGCACAGAGACTCACACAGAGACCGAGAGAGACTCACACAGAGACCGAGAGAGACTCACACAGAGACCCAGAGACTCACTCAGAGACCCAGAGACTCGCACAAAGACCCAGAGACTCACACAGAGACCCAGAGACTCACACAGAGACAGAGAGACTCACACAGAGACCCATAGACTCACAGAAACCCAGGGACTCAGACACCCATAGACTCACACAGAGATGCACAGACTCATGCAGAGACTCACACAGAGACCCAGAGACTCACACAGAGACCCATAGACTCACACAGAGACCCAGATACTCACAGAAACCCAGGGACTCAGAGACCCATAGACTCACACAGAGATGCACAGACTCATGCAGAGACTCACACAGAGACCCAGAGACTCACACAAAGACCCATAGACTCACACCGACTGAATCGTGATTCAACCGGGTTCTCAAGCAGGAGGGTGATTGAGTTCCATAGTTCAGCAGCGGGGTGAGCGGAGCAGCAGCAGCAGCAGGAGGGTGGGCAGTGAGGATGTGGGTCGTGCCCTGAGCAGTAACTCACCACTGGCACCGTGACCCACAGGAGGCCATGAACCAGACGTTCTACTTCTCCAACATCGTGCCCCAGGACATCTCCAACAACGAGGGCATCTGGAGAAGGTAGCGCCCCGAAAACAGTGCACACGCACCCACGCACACCTACACACCTACACATCTGCACGCCTCCACGCCTACACATCTGCACGCGTGCGCACGTGCAGTGTACATTGAGGCGTTGGTGCTTATCTCCTGTTCACAGCCCCTGGAAATTCCACATTCTGATGGTAGGAGCGATGGTGGTCGTGTGAAAAGCGCCATTGACTTGGCCACAAAAGTTTGTTTTCTCTCCTATTTTAGCGACCCCAGGAGAAGGAATGTTGATGATGGGCCGAGTCAACCTGCCTCCACCCTCCCGAACAACCTTCAAGATGTGACTTTGCGACGTTTGCGATTGCTCGGAGCCGCTCGCTCTCTCGCCGAGCCACCCCGGGCAGATCGAGGACACATCGACACGTGTGCACCGGTGTGGTCCACGTGACCTGCGCAGCCACTAGGGGCCGCTACACACTCAGCCGCATGTGCATGGGGAGCGGTCAGGTAAAGCGGTTAGCGCTACGCCGCGCTGCGAACCTGGCGGCCCGAGTTCGATTCCCGCCCACGGCCAGCACCAGTGACGATTATCTTAACCCCGGTCCTGGGCCTCCTCTAGGTCGACTCGGCCTCAAAATGGGTGCGGTGTGTAAAAATCGCCACTGGGGAGGCCAAGGCGGTCGGGCGTGGCGATGGCCACCCACCCCCTCGTGTGCCGTGCCTGCCGTCATAACTGCTCGCTTACAGCACTTGCCCCAAAAGTCTGTCAAGGCTACACGGGGGATCTTTGCCTTCGCGCAGCCTGGAGTCGCTGTGTGAGCAGCTGACGGCGCTCTACGCCGACGTGTGGGTGGTGACGGGGCCTCTCGCGCTGGCCCAAGACAGTGGCGCTGGCAGCGGTGGCGGGCAGAGCAAGAGACTTGTCAGCTACGAGGTGAGTGGAGGGCAAGGGTCACTCACGCAGGGCATGGCTGGGAATCGGGCTTCGGGGGGAATCATTTGTGAAGACGGTTGCCGAGCACAGGGGCCGAAACGTCACCCGGCCGGCCAGAAGCGAACAGCAGCGAACAGCAGCGAACAACAGCGAACAGCAGCGAACAGCACTGTCGTCGCAGTTGCAACGGATAGAGAGTTACGAACGCGTTTCGTGTATTGAGCGAGGACATTCGTGTTGCGAGAGATTCCGAATTGGAAGAGTGCGAGGGAAGAGTAGAGATTAGAGAGAAGTGATGTGAGCCTGCAGTGTGGCGAGTGAGTGGATGAGTGAATTGATGGGTGTGTTGTTGTGGTGGTGGTTGAACACGGTGGTGGTGGATGAGTGAATGGATGGGTGTGTTGTTGTCGTGGTGGTTGAACACGGTGGTGGTGGATGAGTGAATGGATGGGTGTGTTGTTGTCGTGGTGGTTGAACACGGTGGTGGTGGATGAGTGAATGGATGGGTGTGTTGTTGTGGTGGTTGAACACGGTGGTGGTGGATGAGTGGATGGGTGTGTTGTTGTGGTGGTTGAACACGGTGGTGGTGGATGAGTGAATGGATGGGTGTGTTGTTGTCGTGGTGGTTGAACACGGTGGTGGTGGATGAGTGGATGGGTGTGTTGTTGTCGTGGTGGTTGAACACGGTGGTGGTGGATGAGTGAATGGATGGGTGTGTTGTTGTCGTGGTGGTTGAACATGGTGGTGGTGGATGAGTGAATGGATGGGTGTGTTGTTGTCGTGGTGGTTGAACACGGTGGTGGTGGATGAGTGAATGGATGGGTGTGTTGTTGTCGTGGTGGTTGAACACGGTGGTGGTGGATGAGTGAGTGGATGGGTGTGTTGTTGTCGTGGTGGTTGAACACGGTGGTGGTGGATGAGTGGATGGGTGTGTTGTTGTCGTGGTGGTTGAACACGGTGGTGGTGGATGGGTGAATGGATGGGTGTGTTGTTGTCGTGGTGGTTGAACACGGTGGTGGTGGATGGGTGAATAGATGGGTGTGTTGTTGTGGTGGTTGAACAGTGGTGGTGGATGAGTGGATGGGTGTGTTGTTGTCGTGGTGGTTGAACACGGTGGTGGTGGATGAGTGAGTGGATGGGTGTGTTGTTGTCGTGGTGGTTGAACACGGTGGTGGTGGATGAGTGAGTGGATGGGTGTGTTGTTGTCGTGGTGGTTGAACACGGTGGTGGTGGATGGGTGAATGGATGGGTGTGTTGTTGTCGTGGTGGTTGAACACGGTGGTGGTGGATGGGTGAATAGATGGGTGTGTTGTTGTGGTGGTTGAACAGTGGTGGTGGATGAGTGGATGGGTGTGTTGTTGTCGTGGTGGTTGAACACGGTGGTGGTGGATGAGACGAAACGGTGTCTGGTATCGACCGAGTCCTCGCCGTGGCAGGATGAATCGATGGGCTATGGCTGTGGGCGGGACAGCGTCTCCTCTTCACGTGAACCACGTTTGTTCTAGCCACTGCTGGATGGATGAACGAGGGCCTTGCACAGAGCCTGTGGGTTACTTGGCCACACTTGACGATTGGATTGGGGGAATGGTGGGAGACGGGGGGGGGGGGGGGACACAGATTATGTACAGCGGCTATGCTCGCTGCCTTCTGCCGCCACCACGGAGTCTCTCGCAGCAACGCGTCTCTCCGACCGTGCCCGTCACAGGTGATCGGCGCAAACGAGGTGGCGGTGCCGACCCACCTGTACAAGGTCATCGTGGCTCAGGGTACGACCGGCGGCGATGGCGGCGCTGACCGTGGTACCGAAGATATTGGCGGCGCCGAAGACGGCGGTGGCACCACCGCGGAGGGCGCCACCGCGGAGGGCGCGGTGCTAGCGGCGTTCGTGATCCCCAACGCGCCGGTGCCGCAGGGGACGCCGCTCGGCTCCTTCCAGGTGCAGCTGGAGCAGCTGGAGCGCTGGGCCGGCGTCACCTTCTTCCCGCGGCTCGACCGCCAATCTTGCCGGGACCTGTGCCGCGTGGAGTCGTGCGGCGCCGGTGCCGGCACGAAGGCCGAGATGCAAGCGGGGCCGGCGAGCGTGGGAGGTGGTGCACGCTATGGGGCGTAGCGGGTGGGGTGGACAGGTACGGGGAGCGCCGCCGGGCCGAGACCACGGACCCGCGGAGCTGTAGAACCCAGCTGAATCCCAAACCAGCGTGTGCGACATCACGGGACCTCCTTTGCCAGTATTAGATTATGATAATAGGTTTTTCACTTTTCTGGCAATACTAAAAGAGGTGTGAAGATGTTAAAACACCAAACTGAAACCTTTGCAAGGAATCATGTCTGCATTAAGCACACATACTTGTGGTGAACATGCAAACAAAAAAACATGCTCTGACAGTCTATGGTGCATTGTCTTTGAAACTGATTGGTCCACATCAGAGACGGCTTTCTTTAGAGCCTCGTCTCACTAACAGTGTTAGACCAGAGGATGCCACAAGGCGACCAGCACAAGGACAACGCACTATCAGGACATGGAGAGCTCTATCATGGGACCTCCTTTGCCAGTATTAAATAATGATAATCGGATTTGAAGCTTTCGTTCTTTAGTTTTTTCGGTAAAGTCACGTAGGTAAAAAATAAAATAAATGAAAATAACTAAATTAAATCACCGATTTAATTGAGTTTTCATTTATTTTATTAGATTTTTTACCTACGTGACTTTACCGAATAAAACCAATGAGAATGATAATCGGGTTTTCCCTTTTTTGGCAATAAAACAGTTGTGTTAAGATGGCGTCCTCTGGCCTAACACTGTTAGTGAGACTAGGCTCGAAAGAAAGCTGTCTCTGGTGTGGACCAATCAGCTTCAAAGAAAATGCAAAAACTTGTTGGTTCTTTTGGTAAAGTCACGTAGAAAGAGAAAATAATAAATTAAATAATACCACACGACGTTTCGATTGCAACACAAGCAATCATCATCAGGTACAAATGAAAGAGAAAACAAACCTAGTAAACTTAGAAATATAATTCAATACAACACAGATAGTCGGTTAACATAACAGTCAACACCCTACCTGGTTGATTACGTTCTTCCAAAGATTGCTAAATTTAAGAGAGATAAAACACAAAGTTTTTACAATGCACATACTGTCAGAGCATTTTTTTCAACGGTTTTATTCAACGGGTTTACTTGACTCCTATGTGTGTCGTGGTCAAATCTTGTAATCAAAAGTTAGTCTACTCCCTGTTGCCCAATCAATTCCACATTTTGCACACGTACTCAGATCCGGTGACAATGCATGCCTGGATCAAAATCGGAATCAATTAATCAATTGGCTCTTTTAAAGCAATTAACATTTAGTATGGACGGCTTATTAATTAAATATTTATTTGTCTAGGTCAAAAATGCCGTGGTTCCTAAACTCTGGAATCGTCTCGCCCAAGAAGCAGGCGCCACGTGTCCCTTGCCATCAAGATGTCAACTACTTCCCGTTGTCCAATCGAGTTATTTACGTATTAGTGCACTTTAAAATAAAACCGTTGTTTTTATGTCTACCACAAGTCTATGTGGTTAATGCAGAGATGATTCCTTGCAAAGGATTCAGTTTGGTGTTTTATTATTGCCAGAAAAGGGAAAAGCCTATTATCAGCGTGTGCGAGTTTACAATGACTCTTAATGAGTCTGCTACGGAACGCTACGAATCTTATGTGGGTCTCTTCGTAGGTCTATGGGGTTCTATGGCACGAGGTGGACCCATCGTCACACGGTGGACACTTGAGAGATCAATTTAATCAGAAGCTAGTTTGTGGATGTCCGAGAGTCGATGGGTCCCTATGCCACGCGAGAGCCTATGGGTCTTCTATCGGAGTCTAGAGGGGCGGTCTGCTCATTACACCTGAGAACACGATGCACATCCGTGGTTGGCGCCGATTCTCAGCGGTGCCAGCTCCACGTCTCAGACCCGAGCCCCCAGGCCTCCTCTCTCTCCGTGAGCCACGCTTTAACCGCCACACGGCCATCTATGACGTGGCTATCGCACTGCGCTACCGACTCCCTGACCACCCAATGTAGCCCCTCCCTGCCATTTTCACCAATCCACACACCGAACAGAAATGGTGAAGTATGGTCAAACAACACCAACTCGACCGACATCACCCGAGTGGGGGGGGGGGGGGGGGGGGGTGAGTGGTGGCAGGGAAGGATGCCTTAATTCCAGTAGTGGATTTTACAAAAGGTCTGTAAATGATCGTCTTTTTTACTACTTGCCGAGTATTTATTTTACTTGTTTATTAATAACAGGGTTGCACTTCAGATGCCGTGAACGTCCGGCCTCATCCGGTGCTGCTGCTGCTGCGCCAGTAGAGCTGTGGCGGCAAAGCCAACCAGCGCGGTCAGCCTTTGGATATACTGGGCTCCGTCGTAGCAACGTGGAATTTACACCACTGGCTGCGGCCCACCAGTAGACACTGCACCCCACATTTGTGAGCACAGAGGGAGCCTTTGATGGGCTATTGTTGTTATTGTCGTTTTTGCCTCTTGGCAGGCAAGAGACCCGCATCACGAGGTCGGCCACAATAACCACAATTTAAGAAATCACCCGGAGCGTACAAGCTAAGCAGGGCCCGAGCCTGGGAGAAGGGCGGTTGGGGGGGGGATTGCTGTGGGCTGGCAGAGGCCAACGCAGCAAACAAATACACTGCTACCACCACAAAGCACCAGCCAGCTCCGCTCTCGCTGTGTAACACGCTGCGAGGCTCCGTACGCCGTCCCTAAACCAAGGGTGCCAATTCCACATTGCCGTGGCGGGGGTGGCGGCCGACCTGCTTCGCCGTTAAGACACCATGGAATGCGCGCTGTTGACGTTTCACAAAGTGGTACTGGTTTTATTGACCGTGGAGAGATGATGGGTCACGACCGATCGGAGGTTGAGCTTGGAAACGACCGTGATTTCAACTTCTAGTTTTGAATAAACGATCGGCGCAATCTCTTCGCCCGCGAGGGTCTCACGCTGGCGCGGAAGGTGCGGAGGGCGAGTGGTGTGGCCGAGCACAGGCTCCCGAGTCACCCCCCTGGGGTCACTCCCGAGTCACCCCCCGAACACTCATCGCTCCACCACACTCAGACCGATCGCTCCACCACACTCACACCGATCCCACTCCTCGTCCACATGATCGATCATTCCTCTTCCCTGCTCTGTCACTCCCCACCACTACTCTACACTCTCGAGTCACTCCTTCACACTGCTCCACCCCTCCTCCCGATCACTCCCCCCTCCCCCCCCAACAATCTCCATCACGCGCACACCCTTGTCCCCATCACTCCTCCACACTGTGCGTCGTCACACCACCCTCCCCCACTGTGGAGTCTGCCCCCTTGGGGTCCTCACGGGGCGCGGGGTCCGTAGGCGTCTGTGGCGCTGCCTGCGTCGGGTCTTCGGGCACTGACGCGGACGCCTCCTCGCCGCCCTCTCCGTTTCCTTTACTCGCCCCTGCGCACATCGTCACGCACGCACGCACGCGCGTCACACACAACACACGTCACCAATACCTGCCATTCGCCACTAAGTGACGGTACCGTCACCACGGCGCCGGTGCTGTCACCACGGCGCCTGTACCAGGCCAGGTGGACTTAGAGGCCACGTGAAGTGTCGAAGACTCGCTGACAGGAGGTCACACGTCACACACGTATCGTCGCACACAAAAACATCGTCACGCACGCAAGTGGTCAGGCACATCGACACACACGCACACATCGTCAGATTGCCATACACATCGCCACGTCAAATTCATTGTCACACCTGCTCATTGTACACAGCGTCACAAAACGACACAGTTGGTAGCAATCATTGGCCTCGACTGCAAAAACTTGGCAGGACCCCCCCTCCCCCCTCAAGAAAGTCATGAGAATCATAGCCCATGGGGCGAGAGCAGAGATCGGTACCAGACAAGGCAGCAACGTCTTTAGGGGTGCCCATTTATTTACACGGCCAATGAGAGTGGATGACCCCCATCCACGGCACTGTGGCTCTCACACAGTCCACCGCGATTGGCCACGCAGAGACGCCACCTCAGGTGGTGCCGATGCAAGTGAGACGCCCCCCCCCCCCACAGTGGTCTGGGTTCGTAGACGAGCGGCGACAATAATCTCCTGGGGTCAAACAATCAAACAAGCGGAATCAAATGAATGATGAAGCTACGCCCCACCTGCTGCAGGGCCTTCCAGCTGCTGCTGCTCCTCCTGCTCTTTCCCGAACTTGTCCCGCTCGCGCGCCGCCCGTGCCTCCTGGCGCCGCCACTCCTCCGCCAGGTGGCGGCACGACTTCTTGTGCGTGAACCAGTGCAGCTTCTGGCACGGCTGCCCACAGTACACCACCTGGGGGGGGTGGGCGGTCACAATCTTGAAACAGAATCTGTATTCATCCCACAGGAATCCGATGAGCTGCGAAGCTCACGGATGTCCAGGAGCGAAATCGCCCGGCGAAACCGCGTTCGATTCCCACTCGCGGACCAAACACCAGCGACGAATATCCGAACCGGTCCTGGGCCTCCTCCCCTTGGTCGATTCGGTCTAAGATGAGTACCTGTTGCGGTGTGCATAAATCGCCATCACAACTGGGGGGAGACAAAGGTGGCCGGGGCATCGTAGGGCTCCACTCGCTAACAGCACTCGCCCCGGTCGAGCCTGCGTGGGCTACGCGGGGGGAGCGTTGTGCGTGTGTGTGTGCGTTGTGTGTGCGTGTGTGCGTGCGTGTGTGCGTGCGTGTGTGCGTGCGTGTGTGCGTGCGTGTGTGCGTGCGTGTGTGCGTGCGTGTGTGCGTGTGTGTGCGTGTGTGCGTGTGTGCGTGTGTGCGTGTGTGTGCGTGTGTGTGTGCGTGTGTGTGTGTGCGTGTGTGCGTGTGTGCGTGTGTGCGTGTGCGTGCGTGTGTGTGCGTGTGTGCGTGTGTGCGTGTGTGCGTGTGTGTGCGTGTGTGCGTGTGTGTGTGCGTGTGTGTGTGCGTGTGTGTGCGTGCGTGCGTGTGTGCGTGCGTGTGTGTGTGCGTGCATGTGCGTGTATGTGTGCGTGTCGCGGTGCGCACCATCTTGCAGGCGGAGCACTTCTTGTCGGCGCCCTTCTCCCCGCAGGTCGTGCAGAACTCGGCGTCCACGAGGCCCACCTGGCCCGTGACGGCCTGCGTGAGGATGGACAGCGCCGTCGGCTCCCGGCCCTGCCCGGCGACGCCACCGCCAAGGGGGCAAGAGGGGTGGGGGAGGGAGAAATGAGCGAGGAAGCCGATTGGTGTCGACCGGGCCCGTCCACCCGGCCCTGCGATTCGCCACGTCGTGGGGGTTTTTTGCCGTTGCTTATGGCGGGGAGGGGGGCGGGGGAGACAGAGAGCGTGCGGGCGCCACTCACGATCTCGACGGGCGCGATGCTGCGCACCAGCTGCTGCAGCAGCGTCGCCTGCGGGAAGGGGAACTTGCGCACGGCCTCGCGCACAAACTTCTCCTGGTGCAGCGGGAAGCCGTCTTCCTCTCGGCCCTTCAGCAGGCTGCACCGGGAAGGGCAAGTATGGGGAGATGAGGGGGGGGGGGGGTAGGAGCACGGGGAGGGGTGGGATGGCGACAGGCCGGGTTAGCGTCGCTCTGGAGTTTATAACAAGGCAACCACACGGTGCATTGTGGGAGCCGGCACTACAGCTGCGTTGCTGCAGACGGTGCATTGTGGGAGCCCACTACAGCTGCGTCGCTGAACACGGTGCATTGTGGGAGCCACCACTACAGCTGCGTCACTGAACACGGTGCATTGTGGGAGCAGCCACTACAGCTGCGTCGCTGAACATGGTGCATTGTGGGAGCCACCACTACAGCTGCGTCGCTGAACACGGTGCATTGTGGGAGCCACCACTACAGCTGCGTCACTGAACACGGTGCATTGTGGGAGCAGCCACTACAGCTGCGTCGCTGAACATGGTGCATTGTGGGAGCCACCACTACAGCTGGGTCGCTGAACATGGTGCATTGTGGGAGCAGCCACTACAGCTGCGTCGCTGAACATGGTGCATTGTGGGAGCAGCCACTACAGCTGCGTCACTGAACACGGTGCATTGTGGGAGCAGCCACTACAGCTGCGTCGCTGAACATGGTGCATTGTGGGAGCCACCACTACAGCTGCGTCGCTGAACATGGTGCATTGTGGGAGCAGCCACTACAGCTGCGTCGCTGAACATGGTGCATTGTGGGAGCAGCCACTACAGCTGCGTCGCTGAACATGGTGCATTGTGGGAGCAGCCACTACAGCTGCGTCACTGAACACGGTGCATTGTGGGAGCCACCACTACAGCTGCGTCGCTGAACACGGTGCATTGTGGGAGCAGCCACTACAGCTGCGTCGCTGAACACGGTGCATTGTGGGAGCCGCCACTACAGCTGCGTCGCTGCACACGGTGCAATGTGGGAGCCGCCACTACAGCTGCGTCGCTGAACACGGTGCATTGTGGGAGCAGCCACTACAGCTGCGTCGCTGCACACAGTGCATTGTGGGAGCTGCCACTACAGCTGCGTCGCTGAACACGGTGCATTGTGGGAGCCGCCACTACAGCTGCGTCGCTGCACACGGTGCATTGTGGGAGCAGCCACTACAGCTGCGTCGCTGAACACGGTGCATTGTGGGAGCCGCCACTACAGCTGCGTCGCTACACATGGTGCATTGTGGGAGCCGCCACTACAGCTGCGTCGCTGAACACGGTGCATTGTGGGAGCAGCCACTACAGCCGAGTCGCTACACACGGTGCATTGTGGGAGCCCACTACAGCTGCGTCGCTGAACACGGTGCATTGTGGGAGCCGCCACTACAGCTGCGTCACTGAACACGGTGCATTGTGGGAGCCATCCCAGTATCCCTTCTCCGTCCCGTTCCTTTCCCATCTCCCCTACATGACATCCTTGATGCCTCGCCCTTCCCGCTGTGGTGCGTCACGGGGACAGCGGTTTTGACATGAACAATAATGACCTTTTGAGCAGCCCATCAAGGCCGCCACCGCCACGGAGGTGCGCGAGGCAGCGCGAGAAGATGGCGCCCAGGTAGTGGATTTTGACGGCGAGGACCTCGTTCATGTCCTGCTGCTGCATGCAGCGCTCGCACACGCGCTCCAGCACGCGCGCACACGCCGCCAGCGCCTCCACCGAGCACAGCGGGCCCTCGCCCACCATCAGCAGCACCTGGCATGCACAAAAGACAAAGATTCATCCCCCACCGCATTGCCTCAATAGACTGTTGGGGCAAGTGCTGTTAGCGAGTAGCACCTATGAAGGCCGGCACGGCACACGAGGGGGTGGGTAGCCAACACTACGCTCGGCCGCCTTTGTCTCCCCAGTGACGATGTTTACGCATCGCACCGGGTACTTATTCGAGGCTGAGTCGACCTAGGGGAGGCCCAGGATCGGTTCAGATAATCGTCACTGGTGTTTGCCGTGAGCGGGAATCAAACTTGAGTCGCTGGGTTCATAGCGCAGCGCGCGAACCACTACACTACCGCTCCCACACAAGACAAAGATCCCCTGTATAGTTTTAACAGACTGTAGGGGCAAGTGCTGTTAGCGAGCACCTATAAAGGCCGGCACGGTACACGAGGGGGTGGGTGGCCAGCACCATGCCCAGCCGCCTTTGTCTCTCTAGCGGCGATGTTTACACATCGCACCGGGCACTCATTTGAGGCTGAGTCGACCTGGGGGAGGCCCAGCACCGGTTCAGATAATCGTCACTGGTGTTTGCCGTGAGCGGGAATCGAACCCGGGTCGCCAGGTTCGTAGTGCAGCACGCTAACCGCTACACTACCGCTCCCACACACACACACAAACATATCTACACACACACACACGTGTATGGACACACACACACAAGACAACCAGATCCAGGGGTCAGTGCCCGACATGGCCATTACGAACCTTCCCACACACACACGGACACACACGGACACACGCAGACACACACAGGGTCAAACGCCCGCCCTGTCCCCCCCGCCCCAACAACCCAGCCCCCCACCTTGACGGGGTTGAGGTTGGTGGTGAGGATAATGCGGTGCAGGGGGGCGGCCAGCTTAGCCGGGAGCCGGGCCTCGGTCTCCAGTCCCTGCGGCCTGGTGTAGTAGTCGAGGCTCTCCCGCGAGAAGAAGTTGTTGATGATGGTGACGCAGTCGTGCTGCCCTGCGCGGCACACATCGGAATCGGAAGGTTGATCCTGGAGGAATCCAATGAGCTGTCAAGCTCTTTTTCACAGATGTCCAGTAGGGGCACAGGGTCAGAACGCTACAATAATAAACAATACGAAAACATAGCAGGAGTGCAGAGTATAGGTAAGGTAAATAAATCACAAAAAAATCAAAAAAATATTTTACCAGGTGAAGTCCACTGAGCTATATAGCTTCTTTTTCAGAAGCGACCTGGCCACAAATGATAGCTCAATAAAGTGGCTTATCATGTGGAAATTTATAGCAGTAAAATAATCTAAATAATATTGAAGCACGATACTAAATGTGGAGGGAAAAACCGGAGGATCCCGAAGAAAAAAAATCCACACGACCACGGGGAGCATGACAGCATGTAAACTCGATGACGTCACACACACCCCAGAAGCTCTTTTCCACTGGCACAACCGAGCTGTGCTGGTGCCGTGCCGTGCCATGGCGAGCCAGCCCGGCGCGGCTCACATTGTTTTTCCACCGCAGAAGCCGAGCCGTTCTGCCAATGTTACAAGCGATGAGCGAGTCGAGACGCGCGTCGCTTACACGGCGACACCGCGTCCTCGCGGCGTACCGACCAACGTTGCGCACGTGGCAAACGAGTCACCTGCCCCGCCGCGCCAAGGGAAACCGCGGGCGACGATATTAACAGATCGCCGACGTCACGCGGGCCGCGGGGGAAGCGAGGGCGAGACTCTCGCGTACCCACGAATGCGGCCATCTGTGCGGCGGTCCGTCCCACGGAGTTCACCGCGTCCGTCTTGGCGCCGGCCTCCAGCATCATGCGAGTGATCTCCTTGTTCCCTGCGGCGGAGGACAGGGGGTGACCACAGCCACCATGACGACGGCGCGGAGTGGCAGTAGGAGGGGAAGGAGGTAGGCAAAGAGGGGAAGGAGGAGGAGGGGGGGGCGAGGAGGAGGGGAGGGAGGAGGAGGGGAGGGAGGTGAGACACCAGCGACCCGAATCTCTCCTCCATGTGTTTTTGGACAGCAACGCCCGAGCTGTGTCGACAAGATGAGAGCCGTTTGATCGTTTTCTTTTTTGTTTGGGTCTTACTTGAGCATAACAGTCCCGTTAATACAGTGGGGTGGGTCTCACTGGGGGTCCTGGCTAACGGACGGGGTCCTGGCTAGCAGAGCGGGGTCTCCCAGGGGTCCCCGGCTAGCGGACCGGGGTCTCACCAGAGAGCCCGGCGAACATGAGGGCGGTGTATCCGTGCTCGTGCTCGTTGCAGTTCACGTTCGCCCCGTGCCGCAGCAGCAGCTCGCACAGCTCGGCTCGGCCCTTGTAGGCTGCGTGCATCAGCGGCGTCATCCCGTGCTGCGCGGGGCACCCAGAAAGGGGTGGGGGGGAGGGCATTAGAGATGGGGGGGGGGGGGAGACCAGGATTCTGGTTCAGAGGTCAGAGGGGTTGAGCTGGTACAGCTGAGAACTGGGTTTTTTTTTTCTGGAAGACTTTGCAGTTTTTTCCTGGATTTCTCTGTTTGCGCATAGTCACATAGTCACTTTAAGATGTTTTCTTGTTCATGTTTTTGTTTTTTGTTTGTTGCGGTTGCACCCGATTCAAGAGCCGAATGGCTCACAGGGCTATACCAAAAAATGAAACTGAAAGTGTAGCGGAGTTGATGGTCTCAGCCCGGTCACCACCAATGAATCACATGGAGACCCAGAGACTCTCATTAGAGATCCATGTGAAAAAAGGAGCAAGCCTTGGCTTGTAAGGGGGCCAGGTGGGATTCACACCTTTGCACACAGGTGTTAATGATTACCGTGATACACGACACTACCGTAATCACTACTATTGATAGCAAGTGTGGTAGTTCAACACAACGTGTTTGAAACACTTTTTCAACCACCACACTGTAAGTCACTCCATTAACCACCCAATCACTAACTCAAACACATAATCACTCAACCACTTTCTCACTCACCACACTGCAGGTCACCTCACTTATCTTTCAAATTCTTCCCTCACACTGCTCCACTCTGTAATTCCTTCCCATCATCATTATCATCTCCTTCCCTCTCCCAAGATCTTGTAACAAAAAAAAAAGAACACTGCTCAATCAAGGAAACGCATTAATGACTCTTATCTATTGCACCTTCAGTCGTGCCGATTGTTGCTGACCGCTTGGCATTTTGGCCATGTGCTCAGCAACTTCGATTCAAGACAAATGACAGCTGGTGGGCCCCCACCTCGTCCAGGCAGTTGATGCGGACCGTCTTGAGGCCCAGAAGTCTGCAGGCCTCTTGGACATTTCCTGAAACACGCAAACAGCCAACATCACCTTCACACACCAATACCAATAGCCACCATTTGAAATGATGGGTGAGTGAAATGATGGGTGAGTGAAATGATGGGCGAGTGGGTGGATAATTCAGTGGGTGAGCTGGTGGATAATCGAGTTGGTGGATTATTGAGTGGGTCAAGTTGGTGTGTATTTCAGCGGGTGGGTGACATGATGGGTGAGTGAAATGATGGGTGAGTGGGTGGATAGTTCAGTGGGTGAGCTGGTGGATAATCGAGTTGGTGGATTATTGAGTGGGTCAAGTTGGTGTGTATTTCAGTGGTTGAGTGAAATGATGGGCGAGTGGGTGGATAATCGAGTTAGTGGATTATTGAGCGGTTCAAGTTGGTGTGTATTTCAGCGGGTGAGTGAGTGAAATGATGGGTGAGTGAAATGATGGGCGAGTGGGTGAATAATTCAGTGGGTGAGCTGGTGGATAATCGAGTTGGTGGATTATTGAGTGGGTCAAGTTGTGTATTTCAGCGGATGAGTGAGTGACATGATGGGTGAGTGGGTGGATAATTCAGTGGGTGAGCTGGTGGATAATCGAGTTGGTGGGGGAGATGGTGAATGTGGTTGAGTTGGTGGTGTTGCCACCTTCCACCGTCGACCAAATCGGGACAGATGTCCAAGCCAGCCTGGGTCTATCGGAGCCGTTGCTGTCTGAAACTGGAATGAAGTCCAACTCAATACCGATGATACCAGGTCTGGGTACAAATCAACTCCTGCTGCCACCCGAAAGCCCGGGATGGGTGACCTGGAGTTGTTGGTTGGCCATACTTTACCGCTCCGATGGGTTACGGGTCGGTCAGACGCCGAGGGGGCGCAGACTTCAGCGAACATCACCACTGTTGCGTTGACAATCAGGGCTGCGGGTTACGACGAACGTGACAGCTAGACCTCGGCAAGGTAAGGTAAAAGTGTAAAAAACAACGAGCCTACCTTTACCCCACTTTTTACCCTTACCACAATACAATCACTCTACCCTACCTTTGACCCTTTAGCAGGTAAGGTAAAAAGCAACGAGCCTACCTTTTACCCTACCCTTTACCCTTACCCCTTGGCATGTCGAAACCTTTAACCCTTTTACCCGGTAAAAAGGGTATAATTACCTTACCTTGCCGAGGGCCTAGTGACAGCGTAACACTTGCAACCACAAGGCGCACGTGTGCCCAGGCAGTGTAAGGACGGCACCTACACATCTCAGAAGCTAAGCAGGAGCCGAGCCTGGACACGGGCCCTTGGATGACCCACGACTTAAAAGGGGTTAACAGCAGCCTCGGAGAGGCACAGCCCGAGAGAGAGCATCAGCGAGAGAGAGAGAGAGCGAGGCAGCATGCGTCTCCCAGAGGCCCCATACACTCCAGGCCCAAAGCCTCGGGCTCGCCTTTCGACACTGCCTGGAGCAGCTCCGCCTCCTCGGCCGCGAGGTCTCCCTTCTTCGCGGGCGCCATGACCGCTCCTGGGTGTCGTCGCCGCGTCTCCTCGCCGCTCTCTGTCTCCTCTTCGCCCGCCTGAGTGTAGAAGGAGATGCCGACAACGAGCCGCGATCTCCTCGTGAGTCTGCGCGTACGCCGCGTCACGGTTTCCGCTCCGTGCCGCCCTCTTGAGGCCAAGGGGTCGTCAACGTGACGGCGGACATCTTGCTCAGGGATGGTGAAGCAGGTAGGACATCTTGCTCAAGGGTGGTGAAGCAGGTAGGCCATCTTGTTCAGGGGTGGTGAAGCAGGTAGGCCATCTTGCTCAGGGGTGGTGAAGCAGGTAGGCCATCTTGCTCAGGGGTGGTGAAGCAGGTAGGCCATCTTGCTCAGGGGTGGTGAAGCAGGTAGGCCATCTTGCTCAGGGGTGGTGAAGCAGGTAGGCCATCTTGCTCAGGGGTGGTGAAGCAGGTAGGCCATCTTGCTCAGGGGTGGTGAAGCAGGTAGGCCATCTTGCTCAAGGGTGGTGAAGCAGGAAGGCCATCTTGCTCAGGGGTGGTGAAGCAGGTAGGCCATCTTGCTCAGGGGTGGTGAAGCTGGTAGGCCATCTTGCTCAGGGGTGGTGAAGCAGGTAGGCCATCTTGCTCAGGGGTGGTGAAGCAGGTAGGCCATCTTGCTCAGGGGTGGTGAAGCAGGTAGGCCATCTTGCTCAGGGGTGGTGAAGCAGGAAGGCCATCTTGCTCAGGGGTGGTGAAGCAAGTAGGCCATCTTGCTCAGGGGTGGTGAAGCAGGTAGGCCATCTTGCTCAGGGGTGGTGAAGCAGGTAGGCCATCTTGCTCAGGGGTGGTGAAGCAGGTAGGCCATCTTGCTCAGGGGTGGTGAAGCAGGTAGGCCATCTTGCTCAGGGGTGGTGAAGCAGGTAGGCCATCTTGCTCAGGGGTGGTGAAGCAGGTAGGCCATCTTGCTCAGGGGTGGTGAAGCAGGAAGGCCATCTTGCTCAGGGGTGGTGAAGCAAGTAGGCCATCTTGCTCAGGGGTGGTGAAGCAGGTAGGCCATCTTGCTCAGGGGTGGTGAAGCAGGTAGGCCATCTTGCTCAGGGGTGGTGAAGCAGGTAGGCCATCTTGCTCAGGGGTGGTGAAGCAGGTAGGCCATCTTGCTCAGGGGTGGTGAAGCAGGAAGGCCATCTTGCTCAGGGGTGGTGAAGCAGGTAGGCCATCTTGCTCAGGGGTGGTGAAGCAGGTAGGCCATCTTGCTCAGGGGTGGTGAAGCAGGTAGGCCATCTTGCTCAGGGGTGGTGAAGCAGGTAGGCCATCTTGCTCAGGGGTGGTGAAGCAGGTAGGCCATCTTGCTCAGGGGTGGTGAAGCAGGTAGGCCATCTTGCTCAGGGGTGGTGAAGCAGGTAAGGCCATCTTGCTCAGGGGTGGTGAAGCAGGTAGGCCATCTTGCTCAGGGGTGGTGAAGCAGGTAGGCCATCTTGCTCAGGGGTGGTGAGCAGGTAGGCCATCTTGCTCAGGGGTGGTGAAGCATGGTAGGCCATCTTGCTCAGGGGTGGTGAAGCAGGTAGGCCATCTTGCTCAGGGGTGGTGAAGCAGGTAGGCCATCTTGCTCAGGGGTGGTGAAGCAGGTTAGGCCATCTTGCTCAGGGGTGGTGAAGCAGGTAGGCCATCTTGCTCAGGGGTGGTGAAGCAGGTAGGCCATCTTGCTCAGGGGTGGTGAAGCAGGTAGGCCATCTTGCTCAGGGGTGGTGAAGCAGGTAGGCCATCTTGCTCAGGGGTGGTGACGCAGGTAGGCCATCTTGCTCAGGGGTGGTGACGCAGGAAGGCCATCTTGCTCAGGGGTGGTGAAGCAGGTAGGCCATCTTGCTCAGGGGTGGTGAAGCTGGTAGGCCATCTTGCTCAGGGGTGGTGAAGCAGGTAGGCCATCTTGCTCAGGGGTGGTGACGCAGGAAGGCCATCTTGCTCAGGGGTGGTGAAGCAGGTAGGCCATCTTGCTCAGGGGTGGTGAAGCAGGTAGGCCATCTTGCTCAGGGGTGGTGAAGCAGGTAGGCCATCTTGCTCAGGGATGGTGAAGCTGGTAGGCCATCTTGCTCAGGGATGGCGAAGCAGGTAGGCCATCTTGCTCAGGGGTGGTGAATCAGGAAGGCCACCTTGCTCAAGGGTGGTGAATCAGGTAGGCCATCTTGCTCAGGGGTGGTGAAGCAGGTAGGCCATCTTGCTCAGGGGTGGTGAAGCAGGTAGGCCATCTTGCTCAGGGGTGGTGAAGCAGGTAGGCCATCTTGCTCAGGGGTGGTGAAGCAGGTAGGCCATCTTGCTCAGGGGTGGTGAAGCAGGTAGGCCATCTTGCTCAAGGGTGGTGAATCAGGAAGGCCATCTTGCTCAGGGGTGGTGAAGCAGGTAGGCCATCTTGCTCAGGGGTGGTGAAGCTGGTAGGCCATCTTGCTCAGGGGTGGTGAAGCAGGTAGGCCATCTTGCTCAGGGGTGGTGACGCAGGAAGGCCATCTTGCTCAGGGGTGGTGAAGCAGGTAGGCCATCTTGCTCAGGGGTGGTGAAGCAGGTAGGCCATCTTGCTCAGGGGTGGTGAAGCAGGCTAGGCCACCTTGCTCAGGGGTGGTGAAGCAAGTAGGCCATCTTGCTCAGGGGTGGTGAAGCAGGTAGGCCATCTTGCTCAGGGGTGGTGAAGCAGGTAGGCCATCTTGCTCAGGGATGGTGAAGCTGGTAGGCCATCTTGCTCAGGGATGGCGAAGCAGGTAGGCCATCTTGCTCAGGGGTGGTGAATCAGGAAGGCCACCTTGCTCAAGGGTGGTGAATCAGGTAGGTCACCTTGCTCAGGGGTGGTGAATCAGGTAGGTCACCTTGCTCAAGGGTGGTGAATCAGGTAGGTCACCTTGCTCAAGGGTGGTGAAGCAGGAAGGCCATCTTGCTCAGGGATGGCGAAGCAGGTAGGTCATCTTGCTCAGGGGTGGTGAAGCAGGTAGGCCATCTTGCTCAGGGGTGGTGAAGCAGGTAGGCCATCTTGCTCAGGGATGGCGAAGCAGGTAGGCCATCTTGCTCAGAGGTGGTGAAGCAGGTAGGCCATCTTGCTCAAGGGTGGTGAAGCAGGTAGGCCATCTTGCTTCGGGATGATTTTTTTTGCATGTCCAATGTAGAGCATCTATTTAGAGATTCGGTTCTCAGTGATTTCCCCACATTGCGGAGGGAAATAAATACCTTAAACAGGGTTGTTAAGGAGGCCATTCTAGGTAAGGATGCAATTATAGAGGACATCTGGCGTAGGGAAGTGTAATGGAAGGACATCATATTCAACTTTACATCAGGCCGGCCATCTTAGTCAGGGGTTTAATTAGGGAGGACATCTTGCTCAGGGGAATAATTAGCGATGCCATCTTGCGGCAGAATTTAATTTATAGAGGCCATCGTACCCAGGCAGAAAATTAAACTGCTGTTAGCGAGTAGCACCTATTGAGACCGACAGCACACGACGGGGTGGGTGGCCAGCACCACGCCCGGCCGCCTTTGTCTCCCCAAATTCTGATCGCACTAGGGACCCATGTAAGGCAGAGTCGACCGGAATAACGCAAACGCGCAAACGAATTTCCACACAGGACACGTATTAAGCACAGTTTATATTTTCAGTGCAGCCAAAAATAAATATATATTTGTTTAGACCGTATATATGTATACATATGTCTTTAAAGGCATGAACACAACATTTATATAAACCTGTAATTATTAGTACTGCGGTAACACTTGGTAACGGGGAGAGCGGGCAGTGCTCAAATGCATCACGGGACGATGGGGCATTCGCACGGATCCTGCCAGCAGCCGACTCCACCCACCCCCCCAAAATCCGCGGAGCACCGCGTCTGCCCTGGACACGACGGACACCGGGCGTGGCACGGGTATCAAGATGACACACACAACAATCGGGTGACACGTGCTTCGAGTGTCACGTGCTTCGAGTGGCGCGTGCTGCGAGTGTCACGTGCTTCGAGTGTCACGTGCTGCGAGTGGCACGTGCTGCGAGTGTCACGTGCTTCGAGCGGCACGTGCTTCGAGTGTCACGTGCTGCGAGTGTCACGTGCATCAATCAGTTGGCACGTGCTTCCAGTGGCACGGGAACCAATCAGGCACGCGCGTCCGCTGGCACACGCACACACCACCCCCACGCACACACCACGCACACACCACCCCCACGCACACACCACGCACACACCACACCACGGCTCCCGCGCGTGGCACGGTGACGACGGCCGGGGGCATCACCACCCCAAGTGGGGGGTAGGGGTGGTGGGGGTAGGGGGGTATGCGGCGCTCGGTGCGATCGAGAAGTCGGAGCCTTTTTTTTTGGCTCTCGGTCGCCGACGAACGCCGATCGTGAACACCCCCCCCCCCCACCGGAGCCGTCGTTCGTTCGCTCCCGACGCCGAACGAACCCAAAAGTGACTCGAAGCCGTTGTCGCCACCATGAGCCCTCCACGTGCACGCGCGCGCCCACGTGCCCACGCACGCGCGGGGTGCCCGTACGTCTCTAAAACGCACGCAAAGTGTATAACGTGTTTTCTTGTTGTTGTCTCGCTTGCAACGTAAATATTTCAGTTACTGTGGAAAAAAATACATTTAGCTTGTCGATTTCACCTCGAGATAGCGTACATACGCACACACACACACACGCCATTACCAGGGACTCTTCCATACCTGTCAACCCCTGATGAGTGCCCCCTACCTTATCACAGACCAATTCAGACCGTATTGGTCACCCGGCGTGCCCCTTATCAATCTCAACGTTCCATCCTACAACGTCCCATCACAAGGGAGAAACACAAACACGTAGACACATGTGATCTTTTTTTCTGCCCGAAATTAAATGGCTGTACGCCGTATGGACCTGAAAACTCAAATTTCCATGGACAAGAAGAATACGGGGTTTGAACCGTACGCGTCGACAGGTAATGCCGTGTCCCCCCCCCCCCCCCCCCACAGCATGCGTTATAGCGCATGTTTCGCGGCACGTGCTATAAGTTATTACACTTTGCGTTCATACTCGACAATCATTAATATTACCCGGGGCGCTTCTCTCTAACGTCATCGTTGTTAATTATTGCCTGCCACGTGAGCTTGCCACGTGAGCTTACCACGTGCTTCGCAGAAACACGAATTCGGATCCGTTCATCCTCTGGGTCCCGCGTCCTTGAAGGATGTCGGTGAGTGAAGGTGTGAGGGTGACTGGGGTGAGGGGGTGACTGGGGTGGGGGTGAGACTGGGGTGGGGTGAGGGTGTGGTGAGTGACTGGGTGGGTGGGGTGAGCACGTTGTTTACTCCGAGTCACTCTCTTCCCATTGGCGAGTTGAGCCGAAACGTCATAAGGAGCGTCGCTCGCGTGGGGGCAGGTGGTGCCTTTGGCTCCCCCTGGTGGCCAAAGCTTCGAGTTGGGGAAGGGGGGGGGGCGCCTTGACAACCACCGTGAGTTTTGTTTCCAACAGGATTGAGGGGCCCGCCTGACCGATTGCCGCATCCCCTGAGCTGACGATGTCGTTTAACTCCGCCACCGATGCGTCGCGAAACGCGTGTGCACCCACGTGACAATTTGATGTGTCGGGTGGTGGGGGTCTCGACAACACAAATTTTGCAGGATCATTGCGAGGCCCGAGCTGAAAATCAATTTTACGATGCCTGTCAGATTTTTTTTGTCTCATTTACTTTTGTAAAAGAAAAAAAAGGATAATACTTTATCCCCAAATCAAAATGTCGCCTGTTATGTTTGCTCGGGGAGCAATGCTGAGCCTTTGCAATGCATTCTGGGCGGCTCGGTCCCTTGTCACATGGTTACGATTCCTTGTCACGTGGACTCGAGGTGTCTTCGTGGCCCGTTGCTCAGCATGGGCTGCTCGCCGCCGTGCGCGCAAGGTCCTCGTCACAGACCGCACGGTCGGATTCCTCTTCACCCACTGCCCTCGTAAATACTCGTAAAGCCAGGGCGTGCACATCGTCGCCATCGTCATCATCTTTTTGCCCTACTTTCTCCTTACATAATCTCCCCTTTCGTCACTTCCTCCTCCCATTATCTCCTCCTCACATCTCCTGCCCCTCCTCACAGCATCTCCATCATCACCTCATCCCCCTCACCATAATTTCCCCCTTTTCCTCCTTTCCCTCCCATCTGCACCTTACATCATCTCCCCCCCCCCCCCCCCATCATTGCCTCCTCCCGCCTCCCATCGCCAGCCTCTCTCCGCCCACGGTCGCCCCCCTCGCACCGACCGTGCGGAGCGGCGTCCGGAGCTCTGGAGCGCAGTAGGGACCCCCCCCCCCCCCCTTCATTCCTAACTCTCCTCCCGAGTTGCAGAGGAATTCATTTAGAAAAGCTACGCGATCGACGCGCCTAAAGCCTTAACGCGCGTGCGCTCGCTTACCAGTGTCTGAGACTCGCTGCGACGTGCGGATCGGAAACACGTGGACGCTGACCCCTTAAAAAAGCGGAAACGAAAGCTGTGGAGTGCGTAACGACGCGCAGAGAGACGACGCGGCGACAGACACCGCGCGTGATGCACCGGTTTCATCCCGACAAGGACTCATCGGTGTGGCACGGTCACCCAATCCTCACCCGCTGCAGCCTGCCTCTGGGAACCATATACGCGTGTAGTCCACAGCAGGTCGGGGAGGCCCCCGTCCAGCAGTGGATAGATCATGTCTGCCGAGGAGGTGCTTCAACGTAACAGCCGTGAAAGCGAGCGGGCGGCCCCCGCGAGGCAGCGGAGGAAGGCGACTTAGAAAAACGTTTGTAGCTTGGCGGGCAGGTGAGTTCGGCGGCAAGTCGGCAGAGTGGCGGCAGGAAGTCGACTAGCGGGTGGAGCCGATCATGACTTTGGAGACAAAGTTGACGATGGCGGAGGCGGGCTGCTCGGGGTCCAGCTCGGCGAAGAGGTGGCACATGTTGTCGGACACGCTGCCTTGCTTGCGCGCCACGAAGCCGAACACACTGCGTGTGCGAGCGTGTCGAGCACGTGCGTCGGTGACATGTGTGTGCAAGCGCGTGCGTGCGCGTGTGCGTGCAGGTGTGTGGGGGCACGCATGTGCGCGCGCGTGCACGCGTGTGTGTGCGTGTTTATGCGAGCGAGTGTTTGTGCAGAGCACAGCAAATATGAACATCATTAGGAGGTTCAAACCGGAACTTGCACTCATTCAACCACGGTCAGGAAACGTTTCCTCGCTATTACAGAGCAATCGGCCTATTTAATCAGGGGCCTCGGTTGGGATCCCACGGGGTCTGTGTGGGGTTTAGCAAGGGTCTGTGTGTAGGGTCTAACAGGGGTCTGTGTGTGGGGTCTAGCAGGGGCCTGTGTGTGGGGTCTAGCAGGGGTCTGTGTGTGGGGTCTAGCAGGGGTCTGTGTGTGGGGTCTAACAGGGGTCTGTGTGTGGGGTCTAACAGGGGTCTGTGTGTGGGGTCTAGCAGGGGCCTGTGTGTGGGGTCTAACAGGGGTCTGTGTGTGGGGTCTAGCTGGGGTCTGTGTGTGGGGTCTAACAGGGGTCTGTGTGTGGGGTCTAACAGGGGTCTGTGTGTGGGGTCTAGCTGGGGTCTGTGTGTGGGGTCTAGCAGGGGCCTGTATGTGGGGTCTAACAGGGGTCTGTGTGTGGGGTCTAACAGGGGTCTGTGTGTGGGGTCTAGCAGGGGTCTGTGTGTGGGGTCTAACAGGGGTCTGTGTGTGGGGTCTAACAGGGGTCTGTGTGTGGGGTCTAACTGGGGTCTAGCTGGGGTCTGTGTGTGGGGTCTAACAAGGGTCTGTGTGTGGGGTCTAACTGGGATCTGTGTGTGGGGTCTAACTGGGGTCTAGCTGGGGTCTGTGTGTGGGGTCTGTGTGTGGGGTCTAACATGGGTCTGTGTGTGGGGTCTAGTAGGGGTCTGTGTGTGGGGTCTAACAGGGGTCTGTGTGTGGGGTCTAGTAGGGGTCTGTGTGTGGGGTCTAACAGGGGTCTGTGTGTGGGGTCTAACAGGGGTCTGTGTGTGGGGTCTAACAGGGGTCTGTGTGTGGGGTCTAGCTGGGGTCTGTGTGTGGGGTCTAACTGGGGTCTAGCTGGGGTCTGTGTGTGGGGTCTGTGTGTGGGGTCTAACAGGGGTCTGTGTGTGGGGTCTAGTAGGGGTCTGTGTGTGGGGTCTAACAGGGGTCTGTGTGTGGGGTCTAGTAGGGGTCTGTGTGTGGGGTCTAACAGGGGTCTGTGTGTGGGGTCTAACAGGGGTCTGTGTGTGGGGTCTAGCAGGGGTCTGTGTGTGGGGTCTAACAGGGGTCTGTGTGGGGGGTCTAACAGTGGTCTGTGTGTGGGGTCTAACAGGGGTCTGTGTGTGGGGTCTAACAGGGGTCTGTGTGTGGGGTCTAGCAGGGGTCTGTGTGTGGGGTCTAACAGGGGTCTGTGTGTGGGGTCTAACAGGGGTCTGTGTGTGGGGTCTAGCAGGGGTCTGTGTGTGGGGTCTAACAGGGGTCTGTGTGTGGGGTCTAACAGGGGTCTGTGTGTGGGGTCTAACAGGGGTCTGTGTGTGGGGTCTAGTAGGGGTCTGTGTGTGAGGTCCCAGGGTCCCCGGCACTCACGCTGCATTGTTGCCGTTTTCTCTCCTCCAGCTGCCCTCGGCACCGCGGGCGGAGGGGGGCGGTGACGCCATGGAACACACACACACACACGCACACACACGCACACACACACACGCATACACACACGCATACACACACACGCGCACACACGCACACGCACACACACACACACGCGCACACGCATACACACACACACGCGCACACACACGCACGCACACACACGCACGCGCACACACGCACGCGCACACACGCACGCGCACACACACACACGCAGTAACAGACACGCACCGTCATCAAAAGCCCGTGTAACACGTCCGTATGCGTTGGTGGGTGGGTCCATACGCGTGCGCGCGTGTTCATCTCACTATTTGAACCGGTCCTGGGCCTCCCCTAGGTAGACTCGGCATTAAATGAGTACCCGCTGCGGTGTGTTAACATCAGCACTGGGGAAACAAAGGTGTCCGGGTGTGGTGATGGTGGTGGTGTTAGCCAGACCACTTCCTCGTGCGCCGTGCCGGCCTTCACAGTGCTTGTTAAAGGCTAAACGCGTGGGTGGTGGTGGTGGTGGTGTCTTTGTGCCCATCCTCACCGTCGGTTCTGAGGGTCCAGGTCGCAGAAGGTGACCGTGGAGACTGGGTAGTGCCTTCGGAAAAACAACCTGGCGAGGGGAACACGGAGCCCGCCGTCAAAACCCAACCCCCTCGCCCGCCTGCCGCTGCGGCGGTGACGCTGCACACGTCTTGGTGTCGCGTCGTCACAGCGGTGAGACGCAGAGCGCTCGCCCCGTTGCCAACGAGACTATGGTCTTCCGGTGGCTCTCCTCCCGTGGTCTCGACCGGGTAAACAGCCTGGGTGCGTTGGGTGTGTTGGTTGGCGGGTGGGTGGGTCCGTTGGGTGGGTGGGTGCGTTGGGTGGGTGTGTTGGTGGGTGGGTGCGTTGGTGGGTGGGTGCGTTGGTGGGTGGGTGCGTTGGTGGGTGCGGTGGGTGGGTGCGTTGGTGGGTGGGTGCGTTGGTGGGTGGGTGCGTTGGTGGGTGGGTGCGTTGGTGGGTGGGTGCGTTGGTGGGTGGGTGCGTTGATGGGTGGGTTGGCGGGTGGGTTGGTGGGCAAGTTAGTGGTTGGGTTGGCGGTTGGGTTGGAGGTTGGGTTGGCGGGTGGGTTGGCGGTTGGGTTGGCGGGTGGGTTGGCGGGTGGGTTGGCGGTTGGGTTGGCGGGTGGGTTGGCGGGTGGGTTGGCGGGTAGGTGCATTGGTGGGTGGATGGGTGCATTCGTGGGTGGGTGCGTTGGTGGGTGTGTTAGTGGGTGGGTGGGTTGGTGGGTGGGTTGGCGGGTAGGTGCGTTGGCGTGTGGATTGGCGGGTGGGTTGGTGGGTAGATTGGTGGGTGGGCACGTGGGTGAGTGGGTGTGTGAATGGGTAGGCAAGTCTGTGGGTGAGTGGGTGAGAATGTGGGGAGGGGGGGCGGGCACCTGCGCTGGTTGTCTGTGAGCGTGATGCCCTGGTCCGACACTTTGAAGTGGACGACGGTGGGCGTGGGCGCGGGACTCTGCGTCAGCGTCTCGCTCACGGCCTTGCCCACGGCCAGCGGGCCCGTGAGCGACTCCATCTCCACCACGCCCAGGAAGAGGACGTTGCACGCTGCGCCATGCGGGGGAGGGCGGGGGAGGGAGGATCAGCGAGTGACCAGTGGACGTAAGGAAACGGTAACATACCCTAGCCGCAGGAGTGTTGAGACTCATCGCTCTTCACATCACCACCATCTCCATCAATACCATTACCAGAGCCGGCATTACCACGACGATCTTCACCACCGACAGCACCACCATCATCACCACCACCACCACCATGGTCACGTGCTCCCCACTCACCTGCCCCCTGCCGCAGGAGCTCGGAGACGGAGCTGGGCACCACTACGGGGCTCGCCGTCGGCTCCCGCGCCACGGGTTCCAGCGCCGCGTCCAGGGGGTCTACACGCGGGCAGAGGTGATGGGGGGGAGGGGAGGGGGCACAATGTGGGGGGGGGGGCACAATGTGGGGGGGGGGAGGGGGCACGGGGGGAGGGGGCGCAGGGGGTGCGGTCAGACTCCGCACGGCGCTGACAACGCGGAGATATTGTCAGATCGCAGACAATTACTCAGACGCAGAGGTCGCAATCGGGTACCTGATACCCGTACCCTACCCGATACCCGGCTACCAGTACCCAGCCGGGTATGGGTACCCGTTTGCGACCCTGGTGCGGCCGGGTAAGGGTAAGGAATCAAAACTCGTTTGCGACCTCTGCTCAGACGCAGACACGCGGGGGCCATGCAAACGGACCAACGGACAGGGCAGCCCGACGGACAGACAAGACACACAGACGCACGTGCAGCAGACAGACATATAGAGACGTACAACCACGGGCTGAAGGTGGACGGGCACACGCGAGCGGACGCGCACGCACGGGCGGCGGTGCCGTTGTTACCGTGCGAGGGGATGGCGAGCTTGCAGGGCAGGGCGAGCGGCGTGATGGAGTGCTGGTACACGAGCGCCGTCAGGCTCCCTGCCGCACAACAACAAAGACAGAGAACCCCGCCCCGTGTCGCCTTCAACGGACCGTCGGGGCGAGCGCCGTTGGCGGGCGGCATCTGTGAAGGCCGGCACGGCACACGAGGCGGTGGCGTGGCCAGCAGCACGCCCGGCCGCCTTTGTCTCCCCAGTGGCGATGTTTACTGCACACCGCTACACCGGGTACTCATTTGAGGCCGAGCCGACCTAGGGGAGGCCCGGGACCGGTTAAGACAATCGTCGCCGGTGTTGGCCGCGAGCGGGAATCGAACCCTGGCTCGCAGGGTTCATCGCGCGGCGTAGCGCTAACCGCTGCACCACCGCTCCTCAAACACACGCAGACAAAGGTCCCCCGTGCGACCTACACACACTGTTGAGGCAAGTGCTCTTCAGCAAGCAGCACCTATGAAGGCCAACGCGGCACACGAGGTGGGGGGGTGCCAGCACCACGCCGGGCCGCCTTTGTCGCCCGGGTGCTCATTTACCTAGAGGATGTTCCAGGACTTTGTTCACCGGTTTCGGTGACTGTGAGCGGGGGAATCGAACTGGGGGGGGTGGGGGGGGGCGCGACTCACCGAACACCGGCTCGTTGGGACAGCCCTTGAGCCGGACCCCCTTGGCGCACGACTCGATGAGGAAGTGACGCACCAGCTCGTTAGTGCCGTCACCTGCGGAGTGGGGGGCGGGGGGGTGTGGACGGTGCGGGAGAGAGTTGGGGGGGGGGCAGCACGATGACTCTTGCAGCAAGAGGCGATCCGATTCGAGTGGACGAGGCCGCGTCGCTGTTCGAAGGAAGCGTTGCCCACCACCCAACGAGGCGCATAGACAAAGATTCTCCCCCGTGTGGCCTTTCCGACAGGCTTGTTGTGGGGTGGGGGGGGGGGTCACGTGCTGTTAGCGAGCGGCCTACGAGGACCGGCACGGCACACGAGCCGGGTGGGTGGCCAGCACCACGCCTCTCATATTGTACAAAGACCCCCCCGTGTAGCCTTAACAGACTGTAGGGGCAAGTGTTGTTAGCGAGCCCCTATGAAGGCCGGAACGGTACACGAGGGGGTGGGTGGCCAGCACCACGCCCGACCGCCTTTGTCTCCCCAGTGGCGATGTTTACACATTGCACCAGGTACTCATTTGAGGCTGAGTCGACTTAGGGGATACCCAGGACCGGTTCAGATAATCGACACTGGTGTTGGCCCTGAGCGGGAATTGAACTCGGTTCGCCGGGTTCATAGCGCAGCGCGCTAACCACTACACTACCGCTCCCCACTCATATTGTACACACACACACACCAACACACACATGCACACACGCACACCGCATCAGGTACTCATTTAAAGCTAAGTCGACGTAGGGCAGGGTCTGGGACCCGTTAAGATATTCGTCACCGTTAATTGTTTGGGAGCGGGAATCGAACCAGTGTCGCCGGGTTCGTGGCGCGTCGCGCTAATTACTGTGCCTCCACTCCCCACTGCACGCACACACACACCAACACACGCACGCACACACACCAACACACACACCAACACACGCACGCACACACACACGTAAACACACACCAACACACGCACCAACACACACACGCGCACACACCCCAACACACGTACACACACGCACGCACACACACACACCAACACACGCACGCACACACACACCAACACACGCACACCAACACATACACCAACACACACCAACACACGCACACCAACACACACACGCACCAACACACGCACACACACACACCAACACACGCACACACACACACCAACACACGCACACACACGCACGCACACACACACACCAACACACGCACACACACGCACGCACACACACACACCAACACACGCACACACACGCACGCACACACACACACCAACACACGCACACACACCAACACACGCACGCACACACACACCAACACACGCACACACACATACACCAACACACGCACACACACATACACCAACACACACCAACACACGCACCAACACACGCACACACACACACCAACACACGCACCAACACACGTAAACACACAGCGCAACATTGGCCAAGAATGTCTGATATCGCCAGTCTCATCAGACCCTGAATCCGGCCCTGCCGCCCACAACCGGGTCGGCTGGAGTGGGTACCGTGGGCGGGGAGCGGCTAGACGGGGGTCCCTGTGGGGACCCCACTGGGACCCCACTGGGACCCCTGTCCATCTTGCTGGACGATGAGAACGGCTTCACCTCCGTCGAGCGGCGTGTCGGGGAGGTCCACCAACGAAACACTCCCTTACTCACCCACCCACTGACCCACACAACTCACTCGATGTGATGTGGTGGGTTGTCTATTGGGTGTGATGCGTGGCAGTGCGGTGGGGGTGGTGGTACCGCTCTTGTTGGGGTGCGGCACGCCGGGCGGGGCGGTGGCCACCTTCATGGCCAGGCCGTAGGCCCCGCGGAACGAGTGGCTGTCCCTCACCACGAACGCGCCGGGCTCACGCGCCCGCAGCACCGCGATCGCTACAACAACAACCATCAACAACCAACAACAACAACCATCAACAACCAACAACAACAACCATCAACGACAAACAGCGCCACCACCATCGATTAGAATAGCTCACGCGCTCGCAGCACCGCGATCGCTCCCGTCACAACAACAACCATCAACAACCAACAACTATCAACAACAACTATCAACAACAAATAGCGCCACCACCATCGACGAGAAGAGCTCGCGCTCCCGCAGCATCGCGATCGATACCGCCACGACAACAACAACCATCAACAACCATCAACAACAACCATCAACAACCAACAACAACAACAACCAACAACAACAACCAACAACAACTATCAACAACAAACAGTGCCACCACCATCGACGAGAACAGCTAGCGCGCTCGCAGCACCGCGATCGCTACAGCCACAACAACAACAACAACCATCAACAACAACAACAACTATCAACAACAAACAGCACCACCAACATCGACGAGAACAGCTCGCGCTCGCAAGCACCGCGATCGCTCCCGCCACAACAACAACAATCAACAACAACCGCCACCACAACCACAATAAATCTACAGCCAGCATCAACCACCGCAACCACCACAACCACAGTAATGACAACAACAGCAGCAACAACAATCAGCGAGGGCACAACAACCGGCTCCGATATCCCTCGCCGCCAAAGGGAGCCGAGGACCGGGAATTGAACTCGGGTCGCCGGGTTGGGAGCGCGTCAGTGAGGACACGGCCATTATGAACCCCCTGAGACACACACACACACTACTACTACACTGGGTACACACTCACTACTACACTGTACACACACACACCTACACTCTGTACACACACACACCTACACTCTGTACACACACACACCTACACTGTGTACACACACTACACTGTGTACACACACACACACTACTACTACACTGTGTACACACACACTACTACTACACTGTGTACACACACACTACTACTACACTGTGTACACACACACACTACTACTACACTGTGTACACACACACACACTACTACTACACTGTGTACACACACACACACTACTACTACACTGTGTACACACACACTACTACTACTACACTGTGTACACACACACTACTACTACTACACTGGGTACACACACACACTACTACACTGTGTACACACACACACTACACTGTGTACACACACACACACTACTACTACACTGTGTACACACACACTACACTGTGTACACTATTGTGAGTACACACACACTACACTGTGTACACACACACACTACTACTACACTGGGTACACACACACTACACTGTGTACACACACACACTACTACTACTACACTGTGTACACACACACACTACTACTACACTGGGCATACACACATTACTACACTGTGTACACACACACACACACTACTACTACTACACTGTGTACACACACACTACTACTACTACACTGGGAATACACACTACTACTACACTGTGTACACACACTACTACACTGTGTACACACACACACTACTACACTGTGTACACACACACACACACTACTACTACTACACTGTGTACACACACACTACTACTACTACACTGTGTACACACACACTACTACTACTACACTGTGTACACACACACTACTACTACTACACTGTGTACACACACACTACTACACTGTGTACACACACACACTACTACACTGTACACACACACACACTACTACACTGTACACACACACACACTACTACACTGTACACACACACACACTACTACACTGTACACACACACTGCTATAGACTACACTGTACACACACACACACTGCTATAGACTACACTGTACACACACACACACTACTACACTGTGTACACACACACACACACTACTACACCGGGTATGCACACACACACACTACTACACCGGGTACGCACACTACTACTACACTGTGTACACACACACACTACACTGTGTACACACACACACTACACTGTGTACACACACTACTACTACTACACTGTGTACACACACTACTACTACTACACTGTGTACACACACTACTACTACTACACTGTGTACACACACACTACTACACTGTGTACACACACACTACTACACTGTGTACACACACACTACTACACTGTGTACACACACACTACTACTACACTGTGTACACACACACTACTACTACTACACTGTGTACACACACACTACTACTACTACACTGTGTACACACACACTACTACTACTACACTGTGTACACACACACTACTACACTGTGTACACACACACTACTACTACTACACTGGGTACGCACACACTACTACTACTACACTGTGTACGCACACACTACTACTACTACACTGTGTACACACACACTACTACTACTACACTGTGTACACACACACTACTACTACTACACTGTGTACACACACACTACTACTACTACACTGTGTACACACACACTACTACTACTACACTGTGTACACACACACTACTACACTGTGTACACACACACTACTACACTGTGTACACACACACTACTACTACTACACTGTGTACACACACACTACTACTACTACACTGGGTACACACACACTACTACTACTACACTGGGTACACACACACACTACTACTACACTGGGTACGCACACACTACTACACTGTGTACACACACACACACTACTACACTGTGTACACACACACACTACTACACTGTGTACACACACACACTACTACACTGGGTACACACACCCTACTACTACACTGTGTGTACACACACACTACTACACTGTGTACACACACACACACTACTACACTGTGTGTACACACACACTACTACACTGTGTACACACACACACACTACTACACTGTGTATACACACACTACTACACTGTGTACACACACACTACTAAACTGTGTACACACACACTACTAAACTGTGTACACACACACTACTACACTGTGTACACACACACACACTACTACACTGTGTACACACACACACACACTGCTATACACTACACTGTACACACACACACTACACTGTGTACACACACTACTACACTGTGTACACACACTACTACACTGTGTACACACACACACACACTACTACACTGTGTACACACACACTACTACACTGTGTACACACACTACTACACTCTGTACACACACACACTACTACACTGTACACACACACACACTACTACACTGTGTACACACACACACACTACTACACTGTGTACACACACACACTACTACACTGTGTACACACACACACTACTACTACACTGTGTACACACACTACACTGTGTACACACACTACACTGTGTACACACACACTACTACACTGTGTACACACACTACTACACTGTGTACACACACTACACTGTGTACACACACTACACTGTGTACACACAAACACTACTACACTGTGTACACACACACACTACTACTACACTGTGTACACACACACACGCTACTACACTGTGTACACACACACACTACACTGTGTACACACACACACACTACACTGTACACACACACACTACACTGTACACACACACTACTACACTGTACACACACACACTACTACACTGTGTACACACACACACACTACTACACTGTGTACACACACACACACTACTACACTGTGTACACACACACACTACTACACTGTGTACACACACACACTACTACTACACTGTGTACACACACACACTACTACATTGGGTATACACACACACACTACTACACACACACTCAGACAGATACCACTATCAGAGACACGATCAGGGTGGTGGCGACGATGATCGTGATGAAGATGACAGACAGACAGACGGACAGCCCAAGGGGCGGACGGACAGACGGACAGCCCAAGGGATGGACGGACAGACGGACAGCCCAAGGGATGCACTGCCAAGCGGACAGACGGACAGCCCAAGGGACGGACGGACAGACGGACAGCCGGAGGAAGAGACAGACGAAGGGCACCTTGGTCGCGGGACATCTCGGGCTTGTACCAGTACTTGGACGTGTCCTGCACGAACTTCACGTTGGCTCTTGTCTTGGCGCTCATGTCTGCAGCGACAGGGTCACACGCACCGTCTCTCGCACGGCATCATCTCCCACATCTCCCACGTCTCTCCCACGGCAACATCTCCCACGGCAACATCTCCCACGGCAACATCTCCCACATCTCCCGCTTCTCTCACACTGGAGCATCTCCCGCTTCTCTCACACGGCAACATCTCCACGGCAACATCTCCCACATCTCCCACGTCTCTCACACTGGAGCATCTCCCACATCTCCCACGTCTCTCACACTGGAGCATCTCCCGCTTCTCTCACACGGCAACATCTCCCACATCTCCCACGTCTCTCGCACTGGAGCATCTCCCACGGCAACATCTCCCACATCCCCCACGTCTCTCACACTGGAGCATCTCCCGCTTCTCTCGCACTGGAGCATCTCCCACGGCAACATCTCCCACATCCCCCAAGTCTCTCACACTGGAGCATCTCCCGCTTATCTCGCATGGCAACATCTCCCACATCTCCCGCTTCTCTCACACTGGAGCATCTCCCACGTCTCACACTGGAGCATCTCCCGCTTATCTCGCATGGCAACATCTCCCACATCTCCCGCTTCTCTCACACTGGAGCATCTCCCACGTCTCTCACACTGGAGCATCTCCCGATTCTCTCACACGGCATTATCTCCCACGGCAACATCTCCCACATCTCCCGCTTCTCTCACACTGGAGCATCTCCCACGTCTCTCACACGGCAGCGTCTCCCACGGCAACATCTCCCACATCTCCCACGTCTCACACTGGAGCATCTCCCACGTCTCTCACACGGCAGCGTCTCCCACGGCAACATCTCCCACATCTCCTGCTTCTCTCACACTGGAGCATCTCCCGCTTATCTCGCATGGCAACATCTCCCACATCTCCCGCTTCTCTCACACTGGAGCATCTCCCACGTCTCTCACACTGGAGCATCTCCCGCTTCTCTCTCACGGCATTATTTCCCACGGCAACATCTCCCACATCTCCCGCTTCTCTCACACTGGAGCATCTCCCACGTCTCTCACACGGCAGCGTCTCCCACGGCAACATCTCCCACATCTCCCACGTCTCTCACACTGGAGCATCTCCCACGTCTCTCACACGGCAGCGTCTCCCACGGCAACATCTCCCACATCTCCCGCTTCTCTCACACTGGAGCATCTCCCACGTCTCTCACACTGGAGCATCTCCCGCTTATCTCGCATGGCAACATCTCCCACATCTCCCGCTTCTCTCACACTGGAGCATCTCCCACGTCTCTCACACTGGAGCATCTCCCGCTTCTCTCTCACGGCATTATTTCCCACGGCAACATCTCCCGCTTCTCTCACACTGGAGCATCTCCCACGTCTCTCACACTGGAGCATCTCCCACGTCTCTCACACGGCAGCGTCTCCCACGGCAACATCTCCCACATCTCCCGCTTCTCTCACACGGCAGCATCTCCCACATCTCCCGCTTCTCTCCCACGGCATCATCTCCCACATCTCCCGCTTCTCTCACACGGCAGCGTCTCCCGCGCCTCGTCGTCCCGGTGTCTCTTCCCCTGCTCTCCGTAATGTCTCCGGACCGTCCGTGCGTCTGTCTGCCACTCGCCTGTCTGCGTGCGAGGTTGTGTGTGTAGCTACGTTCCTCTATCCGTACTCTCCCCGCGTGTCTCCCCGTGGTCGCGTGGCTTTTTCTCCGGCTCCTCCGGTTTTCCCCTCCACATTTAGAATCAACGTCACGCGTTCAGAGGATTTGGCCGCGAGACATTTTCACCCGATGGTGGGGCCACTTCGTTGAGCTATCATTTGCGGCAGGCCAGGTCCGCTTCTGAACAAGAGCCGTACAGCTCGGTGTGCCTCACCACCGCGTCAAACAAGCGGAGTGACGGCGGCGGTAGTAGTGACATGGGGCAGCAGCAGCAGTGCCAAGTGTAGAAAGTCTGTCACTAAAGGCCTCCGAAACAGAAGTGCCCAGAGCCTACAAGAATCTTAAACCGGCCCTGGTTCAGCCAACAGCACCGCTGCAGGTCTAATTATAACCGACCCCCAGCCTGACCCCGTGTCCACTGTCGAAGTGTAACCCCCTGTCCCGTTTCTCTCTCTGGTCCTGGTGTCTTAAGAGAGTCCCACGTCTCCCGAACCTCTGCCAAGTCCGCCTGAATGATGTCCACGCGCGTGTCTCCGTGTGTCTCAGCAATCCCTGCGTGGTCCGCCCTGTCTCCCGTGTCTCCCCCCGTCTGTGTGTGCTTGTGTCTCTAGGGGGACGGTTTTGTGGTGGCGCTTTGGAAACTAATTCCGTCCCGAAACGCGACACCGCCGTCCGCGCTCCGCACGCACAAAGACAAAAGATCTACCACCCCCTCCCCCCCCGTAGCCTTTAACACACCGATGGGGCAAGTGCTGTTTTCGGGCAGTACCTACGACGGCCGGAACGGCACACCGCAGGGTGTGTGGGTGGGTGGGTGGCCAGCCCCACGCCCGCCCGCCTTTGTCTCCCGAGTGCTGATGTTTACACACCGCACCGGGAACAGTCCTCATTTAAGGCCGAGTCGACCGCGGGGAGGCCCAGACCCCGTTCGGGTATTCGTCAAGAATGTTGGCCATGAGCTGCAATCGAACTCTGGTCACCGGGTGCATAGCGCAGCGCGCCAACCATTGCACCACCGCTCCCCACTACAAAAGGACAACAACGATCTCTCCACCTGTATAGCCTCTAACAGACTTGGGGCAAGTGCTGTTAAGCGAGTGGCACCTATCAAGGCTGGCACGGTACTCAAGCGGGTGTTTTGGTGGCCGCCGCCACCACCACCATGCCTCGGCCGCCTTTGTCTCCCCAGTGTTTTACACGCGGCACCGAGTACTCATTTAAGACTGAGTGGACCTAGGGGAAAGGGGGGGGGGGGAGGCCCAGGCCGGGTCCAAATATTCCAGCGCGCACGGCACGCGTGTCACGCGGACAATTCTGGCAGTCGCCCCCCTCGCCCGCGACCCCCGACCGTGCTGCAGACAGCGCCCGCCTGTTCGAGTCAGCGGCCACCTCCCGCAGAGGTCGTTCAGAGTCTCATCTTCAGTCTGCCGCCAAAGGAAGACAACTCAAGCAACGCTTTGCCACGGGGGCAACAACTCGGAGCGACTTGCGTCGCTGCAACCGTGCGTTCGCGACCACGCCAGGCGTGCCACCGCCGCGCAAGATAATTCCACAACTTGCGTGATGAACGTTGTAATGTGCCAGCAAACGTGACTCGAGTGGATAAGTGGGTGGGCGGGCGAGTGAGCTGTTATGCCCTGCAGTGAGGTGGTGGTGGTGGTGGTTGAGACGGTGGCACAGTCCGTGTTCTGGCAGAGACCGAGTCCTCAACGCGGATGGAGGCATCAGTCAGTAGCGGCAGTAGTAGCAGCGATAGAAGAGTGATATGGAGGTGACCGACCGCCGGGCCAGCGAGCGAGTGGGAGCGGCGGGACTCACCGCCGGACAGCGTGCCGCCGCTGGAGTACTTGAGCGTGTCGTGCTGCGGGACGCCTCCCCCGGCGAAATCGGTCGACACGTCGGCGAAGCTGCCGCTCGGCGTGGACGGCCCGGTGGACGGCGGCGAGCCCGCCGGCGCGGCGCCGTCGTAACCCGCCGCCGCCCCGTGCCGACCGGCCCAGCCCCCCTCCCACGCCGGCGCCGCCGGCGCTCCGGTCTCGAACGCCGGGTACCCGCCGCTACCGCCGATCGGCGCGTACATCGGCGGCGCGGGCGACGGGCCGGAGCGGCGCGGGGGCGACGGCGGTGCCGTCGCCAACGCGCCGCCCGCCACCCTGCGCATCTCGGGACTGGCTCTGCCGTTGTGCGGCACGGGGCCGCCGGGGCCGCCGTCGCGCCAGACCGCGCCGCCGCCGGGGCCGGCGAGCGCCGGCGATGCCGGCGGCGGCGGCGTGTTCGTGGCGACGTTCCGCCGGCACGGCCGAGGGCTGTCCGGCGTCGCCGGGCCGCCGAAGCCGAGCCCCGCCGGCCCCCCTCGCCACGCCCCGGCCCCCGCGGGCCCCGCCGGGTGATGGCCGGGGTGGCCGCCGAGATGGTGCCGGGGTCCGTCGGGCGAGCCGTCTGTCAGGTCGCCCAGGCGAGGGACGGGGCTGGCGCGGGGCCTGAAGGGGTAGGCCTGGGCGGTGCCGAACCCATCGCCGAATCCCACAGAGCCTTCGGCGAAGTAGCCGGAGAAGTCCGGGGACGGGGTCGCCATGCGCAGCGCGGGCTGCTGCTGCAGCTGCTGCTGCTGCAACTGCGGCTGCTGCTGCTGCTGCAGCTGCTGCTGCAGCTGCGGCTGCTGCTGCTGATGGTGATGCTGCTGATGAGCCGGTGAGCCCCTGCGGGAGACGCGAGGGTGAGGGCTCAGGGTGGAGTTCGTGGGTAGTGTTGGTTGGCTCGCGTGGTTAGGGTTAGAGTTCGTGAAAGGCTCTGGTTGGTCAGTGTAGGGACAGTGGTCTCATTGTCCAATGCCTTCATGCTCACGCTCTGACCTCTGCCCCCTCGCTGACCCCTCCGTGACCTCCGCCCTCTCGCTCTGACCTCTCACCCGTGTCGAACATCGACCTCCTGCCCTCACGCTCTGACCTCTCGCTGACCCCTCCGTGACCTCCACCCTCTCACTCTGACCTCTCACCCGTGTCGGACGTCGACCTCCTGCCCTCACGCTCTGACCTCTCGCTGACCCCTCTGTGACCTCCGCCCTCTCGCTCTGACCTCTCACCCGTGTCGGACGTCGACCGCCTGCCCTCACGCTCTGACCTCTCACCTCTCCAGGCTGCTGCTGCCGCTGCTGTGGGAGGCGAATGCGGCAGGGCTGCTCAGCTGACCCGCGCCGGTCAACGAGGGGGGCGACCCGATCGGGGAGTCCTCGCCGGGGCTGTAGGCGAGCGGTCGCGAGTGGCTTCTCAGCTCTTAAGGAAACAACAACAAAAACAACGCGGCAATGATAAGATACCACAACAATAATAAAACACCACAACAATAGAACACCACAACGTGGCAATAATAAACCACAACACAACAATAACACACAACCTAACAATAATAAAGCAACAATAAACCACAACACAACAATAACACACAACCTAACAATAAAAAACAACAATAACACACAACACAACAATAATACACAACCTAACAATGAAGCGCAACACAACATAACACACAACCTAACAATACAATAAAACACAACAACAATAATACGCAACACAATACAATAAAACACAACAACAATAACACACAACCTAACAATACAATAAAACACAACACAACGTAACAATACAATAAAACACAACAACAATAATACACAACACAACAATACACTAAAACACAACAACAATAACACACAACCTAACAATACAATAAAACACAACAATAATACACAACACAACAATACAATAAACCACAACAATAACAAAACCAACAAAAACCAGATCATTTAGATAACGACTAAAGACGAAAGCATCACAACATAAAACGCAGCAGCAGCAACAACAAATACCACCAACACAACTACCGGCCACTAAAACGCCACAACTAAAACACAGCACCGACAACATTGAAACAACTGGATAGACTGTCACAGCAACGTGGATGTTTCACCGCCGGCCCAGGGCTGTGAACAGCATGTGGATGTGTTCACAGGACGTGTTCACGCGTTCAATGCCGAGGCAATCGCGAGACGCGGGCATCCACAGCGTCTGACGCCACCCACACCCCCAACTCTCTACAACTCTCTAACAACTCTCCCAGATTCTCAAAAAACTCTCCCAGACTCTCTCCTAGACTCTCTACAGACTCTAACGACTCTCCCACTCTCCCAGACTCTCCCAAACTCTCTAACGACTCTCCCAGACTCTCTCCAAACTTTCTAACGACTCTCCCACTCTCCCAGACTCTCTATAGGCTAACGACTCTCTAACCACTCTACACACTCTCTCCTAGACTCTCTCCTAGACTTTCCCAGGCTCTCTACAAACTCTGTAACGACGCTCCCACTCCCAGACTCTCTAACGACTCTCCCACTCTCTAATACTCTCTAACGACTCTCCACAAACTCTCTAACGACTCTCTCCTAGACTCTCTGCAGACTCTCTAACGACTCTCTAATACTCTCTCCAAACTCTCTAACGACTCTCCCACTCTCCCAGACTCTCTATAGGCTAACGACTCTCTAAGCACTCTCCCAGACTATCTACAGACTCTCTTCAGACTCTCTAACGACTCTCCCAGACTCTCTACAGACTCTAACGACTCTCCCACTCTCTAATACTCTATAACGACTCTCTCCAGACTCTCTATAGACTCTCTAACGACTCTCCCAGACTCTCTACAGACTCTAACGACTCTCCCACTCTCTAATACTCTATAACGACTCTCTCCAGACTCTCTATAGACTCTCTAACGACTCTCCCACTCTCCCAAACTCTGTAATACTCTCTAACGACTCTCCCAGACTCTCTACAGACTCTAACGACTCTCCCACTCTCCCAGACTCTTTAACGACTCTAACCACTCTATAGACTCTCTACAGATTCTCTACAGACTCCCCCACTCTCCCAGACTCTCTACAGACTCTCTACAAACTCTCTAACGACGCTCCCACTCTCTCAGATTCTCTACAAACTCTCTAACGACTCTCTAACCACTCGACAGACTAACGACTCTACCTACATACGCTCTAACGACTCTCTGATCCACTCAGGGTCGACTCTCACTCTCTCTCTAGGTAATCACACCCCGTCCACTCCGAGCGACTCTCCAGTAAAACCCACCAGCGGCTCTTCGAATTCGTTAGCGACTCTCCGGCTCATCGTGAACTCTCGCAGCAGAGACTCTGCAGCGCATTGCACAACACTCTGGCAACACTCCCACAGCGTCACTCACTAAAAAAAACACTCTCCAGCACAGACTCCCCCAGCGCAAGATAATCGATGGGCGTCACAGCCGCCCTCTGCAAGACGCTCTAAGGCAGCGTGAACGGTCCGCGTAACGGATGAACTCTCTCTAAACTCTCTCTCTAAACTCTCTCTCTAAACTCTCTCTCTAAACTCTCTCTCTAAACTCTCTCTCTACAAACTCTCTCAAGGACTCTTCTCGAACGCTCTCCACAGACTCCCCCCCCCCCCCCGACTCTCCACAGAGTCTCTCTCTCTCTGTCCCGTGGACGCCCGCGGAGTTTTACCCTCAAGCTCGACAGTGTGCGGGCCGCTCCTCGTGCGCGCGAGGGAGAGAGCTCGGCCCCGCGACTCCTCAACAACTCCAGCGGGGAGAGCAGCGGGCAGGGGGGGGAGAGGGGGCAGGGGAGAGGGGAGAGGGGGAAGAGGGGGCAGGGGAGAGAGGGGAGAGAGGGGGGAGAGGGGGAAGAGGGGGCAGGGGAGAGAGGGGGAGAGGGGGAGAGGGGAGGGAGAGGGGGGAGAGGGGGAAGAGGGGGCAGGGGAGAGAGGGGGGAGAGGGGAAGAGGGGGCAGGGGAGAGAGGGGGGAGAGGGGGAAGAGGGGGCAGGGGAGAGAGGGGGGAGAGGGGGCAGTGGAGATGGAGGGGGGATAGGGGGCAGGGGAGAGGGAGGGGACACTGGGATAGGGGGCAGGGGAGAGGGAGGAGCGGGGAGAGGGAGGGGACACTGGGAGAGAGAGAGAGATGGGGAGATTTGGAGAGGAGGAGGAGGAGGGGGTATAGTTTGAGAAAGACGAGTGGGGGAGGGAAGAGGGGAGTGGAGAGCGGAAGAGCGGGAGGAATCTAATGGGAGGAGAGTTTCAGAGAAAAGAAAGAGGGAGTGAATGGAGAGAGAGGGGGGGGGGAGTTGGAGAGCGAGAGAAAGCGTCGACAAGACGAGAGAGACAAAAAAAAGAGAGAGACAGGCGAGATGGGGAGAGATGGGGAGAGTGGAACACGAGGGAGAAGAGAGAGGGGGAGGGGAGAAGGGGAGGGGAGAGGGGGCAGGGGAGAGGGGGGAGGGAGGAGGCAGGGGGGGGGGAGGAGGCAGCGGGGGGGAGGAGGCAGGGGGAGGGAGGAGGGAGGGGAGGAGGGGGGAGGGAGGGAGGGGGAGGGAGGGAGGGGGAGGAGGGAGGAGGGAGGGAGGGGGAGGGAGGAGGGAGGGAGGGGGAGGGAGGAGGGAGGGAGGGGGAGGGAGGAGGGAGGGAGGGGGAGGGAGGAGGGAGGGAGGGGGAGGGAGGAGGGAGGGAGGGGGAGGAGGGGGGAGGAGGGAGGGAGGGGGAGGAGGGGGGAGGAGGGAGGGGGAGGGGGGAGGGGGAGGGAGGAGGGAGGGAGGGGGAGGGAGGAGGGAGGGAGGGGGAGGGAGGAGGGAGGGAGGAGGGAGGGAGGGGGAGGGAGGAGGGAGGGGGAGGAGGGGGGAGGGAGGGAGGGGGAGGGAGGGAGGAGGGGGGAGGAGGGAGGGAGGGGAGGAGGGGGGAGGAGGGAGGGAGGGGGAGGGGGGAGGGGGAGGGAGGAGGGAGGGAGGGGGAGGGGGAGGGAGGGAGGGGGAGGGAGGAGGGAGGGAGGGGGAGAGGGAGGGAGGGGGGAGGAGGGAGGGAGGGGGGAGGAGGGAGGGGGGAGGGGGAGGGAGAGGGGGTAGAGAGGGGGAGGAGCTCTCCCGGGAGGAGCAGGAGGAGGCTGCGCCGCGCGGGTGAATGAGCCCATTGTGATGGGCGCCATGGGGGGTGGAGGGAGGAGGCCCAACCCCAAAACTCTCCCCTCACCCGCCCTCACCACACAGACTCGCATTGCCCACGGACTCTGGGGTTCGCGAGTAGCGTGCACACTGCAGAGCGACGTGGAAGGAAGGCCCACACCGTCACAACGCCTCTTCCAGACGGGACTTGGCACACCCCAGAGGTCGCAAACGGGTTTTGATTCCTTACCCGTACCCGGCCGCACCAGGGTCGCAAACGGGTACCCGATACCCGTACCCTACCCGATACCCGGCTACCCCATACCCGGCCGGGTACGGGTAGGGTACGGGTACCCGATTGCGACCTCTGGGATGAAGCCATGTTGCAGGCGCGGGTGGGTTGATTCTAGGAACTTGAATTGTGAGAAGAGACAAGACGTTGGGAAATGAGTGACAAACAGTTACTCACCAGTGACTCACGGCCTACCCGTACCCGGCCGCACCAGGGTCGCAAACGGGTACCGGTACCCGGCCGGGTACGGAGAGCCGGGTATCGGGTAGGGTACGGGTATCGGGTACCCGATTGCGACCTCTGGCACCACCCCCCACACACGTACACAGACTTGGCACACACCCCCCGGCACAGAGGCTTGGCACACACAGAGAGCGAGAGAGACTTGGCGTACACACACACAGAGCGAGAGAGAGAGAGAGGATAGATAGGGGTTCACACAACGCGTCCGCAGCGGAAACTTGCACGGACACGAGCGGCAATGACTGTGAATCAAATCAACAAAAACCTCTCCCTCCCCCTCCTCCCTCCTCGCCCGCCACCGCTTCACATCGCAAAGGGAGAGAGGCGACGAGAGGGTGACCTCGGCACGCCGGGTGGCATCGCCCACGACCAGTGGCGGATCAAGCGAAGCGCCGGGGCCTGTAGCGTGCGATATTTTAAAGGGGCCACTAAATAAATAAATAAACACACGTAAATATTCAAACACAAATGTTTAACTTGCACAGTAAGGCAGTTGTGTTTTTTTTTCATTTGCTATACAGCCGGATAATACGACAAATCGCTAACCTTAATCACCCACCCGGTCGTTCATAAAAGTTGAAGGCGGTATAGTACTATAGTAATAGAGCAAGTGCAGAATCACTGAATCGGAATTGATAGCTTGAAAGCATTTAGAGCGGGGCCCTTGAAAGTGCGGGGCCCGTAGCTACTACATATGTTGTAGTAGTAGTAGTAGCTACTACTACTACATCATATGTAGCTACTAGCTACGGGCTACATATGATGTAGCTACTGCTACATATGATGTAGCTACTACGTCATATGATGTAGCTACTGCTACATATGATGTAGCTACTTTTGCTACAAGGATAATCCGGCAGTGCCCACGGCTGACCCCCCCCCCCACCTCCGCTCTCGTCGTGACCCGCCCAGGGCCCACCGGGCACGCAACGCCGAGCGGCCAGCGACAAACCCGCGCCGTTGAATAATCCCCAAATCGACGCGTTTGGCTCGGGCGGCGTTGAGTGATGCATCACTGCCCCGAGTGAGCCTGGAGGTCGCGCCCTGATGCTGCGGCCCTCTCTGTCCGCCCGGGCCGTGGGTCTCCGTGCGAGTCCGTGGGTCCCCGTGCGACTCTGTGGGTCTCCGTGCGAGTTGCCTGTGGGTCTCTGTCGGAGTTTGTGGGTCTATGTAGGAATCTGTGGGTCGATGTGGTGAGTCTGTGGGTCTCTGTGTGCAGCTCACCACTGCAGTGGCCCAAGGCGTTTCTCTGTGTGTGGTTAACCGGTTTAACAAGTTTTCATGCGGTTACCGGTTACTCAAAAGTAACCCTAAATCATCCCAAACACCCCCCCCCTACTCATCCCACTCAGCCCCCCACTACTCATCCCACCCAGCCCCCCACTACTCATCCCACACAGCCCCCCACTACTCACGTGTGTAGGGAGTCGGGGGTGCCACGGGGAACGTGGGCGTGGGGGGCCCCGTCGCGTACCCCGGAGTCGGGGAGTGGGAGTAGGGGCTCGGCGCCCTGTGGGCTCCCAAGGGGGTCCCCCCGTACTCCTCGCGGGGTGCCTGCACAGGCGCGGACAGCGGGCCCGTCACAGCGCGGCGCAGACACCCCACGCTCAGCAACCACAGCAATCACAGCAGCAGCAACAACCGCCATGCGCCACTAAGTGGCGGTAACGTCACCACGACGCTTGTGCCAGGGCATGTGCACGTTGAGGCCACGTGAAGTGTCGAACGCCCGCTGGCAGGAGATTCACGGGGCAGACCCAGGTGCCACGGGTCGACTGACTGAGATGACCGAGATGACTGGCTGATGCACCACCTGTGCCCCCTACTGTGCTAACGTGCTGTGCTTTAGCCACCCGGTGCTCCGCTCGTTGTTGTGAGCGTCGCTCCTCCACCCTCCGTTGTTGTTGGAGGGCGACTGCCTCCAACTGCCCAGTAGCGTCCTTCACGACCCTCCTCCACAGAGGCCGATCTTGACACCGCTGGTACCAGTCATCGGCAAGTCCACTCAGCTCCACGTCCTCCTGTACCACAACACTCCATCTCTTTTCTAGTCCGTGCCCCGCCCGTTTAGCCCCCTCGATCCGGCCGAACAAAAGCTGTTTGGGCATGCGGTGGCTGGGCATGGGGGCTACATGACCCAGCCAACGCAGCCTTGCCTGCCGGAGGAGCTCACCGATGGGACTTTGCCCAGATCTTTCAAGTATTTGTGAGCTCCTCACACAATCCAGCCTGGTTAAACCCAGGATGGATCGTAGGCAGGCCAGCCTAAATGTTTCTAACTGGCGAAGATGTTCCATTACGGGGGTCCACGTTTCGCAAGCGTAGAAAAGGGCGGGAATGACCGTGGCCGAGAACACCTGAAGCTTCGTGCGGAGCAAGAGACCAGGTAGCTTCCACACAGCGTTACGCAACCGATGAAAAGATAATGCCGCTCGACTGATTCGGAGGGAGACCTCTGCTGCTAAACCAAAGCCGGTCATGAGCAGCAGCAGCAGTCGCAGCAGCAGCAGCCGCGGCCGCAGCGGCAGCAGAAGCGGCCGCAGCAGCCGCAGCAGCAGCGGCCGCAGCAGCAGCCGCAGCAGCAGCAGCAGCAGCAGCGTGCGCGCGAGGCATTCGTGACCTGAGACCATTCACTCTGGCCCGTTTCTACGCAAGGAGAGAGGCTCGTCGTGTCCAGGAGGGTACCGCCACGCGTTCGCAGCAGAGGGGGCGATGTTGCTGCTGCTGCTGCTTGCTGGGTTTGTGATCCCGGATGAGCGATTTGTAGTGTCACGTCTCAGCATTGTGCGGGACGTGAGGTGCTGCCCAACACCAGCCATTGTGTGTGCGTGCTTGTTTAGTCGGCACGGTAGTGGGGGGGGGGGGCACAGGTGGCGCATCGGACGTTCATCTCAGTCGGTCGACCCGTGGCACCTGCTGGGTCTGCCCCGTGACCTCCTGCTGCCGGCGGGCGTTCGACACTTCACGTGGCCTCGACGTGCACCTAGCCTGGCACAGGCGCCGTGGTGATGTCACCGCCACTTGGTGACGAATGGCGGCTGTTGTGTGTTTAGCTATGTTACGATTATCTGAACCGGTCCTGGGCCTCACGTAGTTCGACTCAAATGAGTACCTTGGGGAGACAAAGGCGGCCGGGCGCGGTGTTGGCCATTCACCCCTTCGTGTGCAGTGCCGGCCTTCATAGGTGCTCGCTCACAGCACTTTCCCCAACAGTCTGTGAAGGCTACAACGTGGGTATCTTTGTCTTTGTTAGCTATGGGGAGAACATACAAACTCCACCCACCCACCCGCTCACCAACCCGCTCACCAACCCACTCACCCACCCCCTGCCCGCTCACCCGCTCGCTCACCAACCCGCTCACCAACCTGCTCACCAACCCACTCACCCGCTCACCAACCTGCTCACCCCCCCCCCCCCCGCTCACCAACCCGCCCGCTCACCAACCTACTCACCCACCCCCTGCCCGCTCACCCGCTCACTCACCCACCCGCTCACCAACCCGCTCACCAACCCGCTCACCAACCTACTCACCCACCCCCTGCCAGCTCACCCGCACGCTCACCAACCTGCTCACCAACCCACTGACCCAGCCACCCGCTCACGAACCCGCTCACCCATCCCCTCCCCTGTCCGCTCAGCCACCCGCTCACCAACCCGCCCACTCACCAACCTACTCACCCACCCCCTGCCCGCTCACCCGCTCGCTCACCAACCCGCTCACCAACCCGCTCACCAACCCGCTCACCCACCCCCTGCCCGCTCAGCCACCCGCTCACCAACCCACTCACCCGCTCACCAACCTACTCACCCACCCCCTGCCCGCTCACCCGCTTACTCACCCACCCGTTCACCAACTCACTCACCCGCTCACCAACCTACTCACCCACCCCCCTGCCCGCTCACCCGCTCGCTCACCCACCCGCTCACCAACCCGCTCACCAACCCGCTCACCAACCCACTCACCCGCTCGCTCACCCACCCGCTCGCCAACCCGCTCACCAACCCACTCACCCGCTCACCAACCCACTCACCCGCTCACTCACCCACCCGCTCACCAACCCACTCACCCGCTCGCTCACCGGCACGCAGGCCGCGTCGTGGCGGGCCCCTGTGGCCCCACCCCCCTGGGCCTCTCCCTCTTCCCGGGGCCCCACGCTGGCCGCTCTCCGCCGCATGGACTCCACCCGGGTCTGCAGCCCGGGCCCCATAGGCCGGGGCCCTGGGGTCACACACACACACAGGGGTCACACACACACAGAGGTCACACACACACAGGGGTCACACACTCACTCAGGGGTCACACACTCATGCAGGGGTCACACACACACGCAGGGGTCACACACACACAGGGGTCACACACACACACACACGCAGGGGTCACACACACGGGGATCACACACACACACGCAGGGGTCACACACAAAGGGGTCACACACAGGGGTCACACACAGGGGTCACACACACGCGCAGGGGTCACACACACACAGGGGTCACACACACACAGGGGTCACACACACACAGGGGTCACACACACACAGGGGTCACACACAGGGGTCACACACAGGGGTCACACACACGCAAGGGTCACACACAGAGGTCACACACACACGCAGGGGTCACACACACACAGGGGTTACACACACACAGGGGTTACACACACAGGGGTCACACACTCACGCAGGGGTCACACACACGCGCAGGGGTCACACACACAGAGGTCACACACACACGCAGGGGTCACACACACAGGGGTCACACACACGCACAGGGGTCACACACACACAGGGGTCACACACACACAGGGGTCACACACACACACAAAGAGGTCACACACACAGGATCCACACACAGGGGTCACACACATACACACACAGAGGTCACACACACAGAGGTCACGCCAAGGGGTCACATCCCCCTCCCCGAGCGTTGCTCAGCTAATAATGCAAAAGATTCGTGCCCCCAAGTAGCTCAAGGGTTTCCCAGTGTCATGAGTAAAACACAAATCATGGATTATAAGAAATGAGCTCGAACTCAAATCCTTTAAAATGAAAAAGTGAATAATTTTGACAGCACGCGTGCACTAAGCAAGTATTGTAATCAGAGTGTTAACTTCACTATTTCAAACAGTTAAAGGCGCAGTTCTGCAACAGCTCGCTCACAGCACTGCAGGCATGAGGGTCTCCAGAGGGAGAGGGAGGGAGAGGGAGGGAGAGCGCTCGAGACGGCTCTCCCATGATGACCACACTTGCTCGGAGTGGGGTTCACCTGGGGTTCACCTGGGGTTCACCTGGGGGTCACGTGGGGTTCACGTGGGGGTCACGTGGGGGTCACGTGGGGGTCACGTGGGGTTCACGTGGGGGTCACGTGGGGTTCACGTGGGGTTCACCTGGGGTTCACGTGGGGTTCACCTGGGTTCACGTGGGGTTCACGTGGGGTTCACCTGGGGTTCACCTGGGGTTCACGTGGGGTTCACCTGGGCCTCATGTTCGAGCTGGCAGCCCCACCCCTTTTCCCCTCTCCCCACCCCCCCTACTTTAGCCCCGCCTATTTTTGCATAACCACGCCTACTTTGAGTTCTCGCTCCGTCGCCCACAACTCAAAGCCCCGCCCACCACACCATTAACCCCCCCACTACTCGGTAGCTCCGCCCACCAACCGGGGTAGGCTCCGCCCACCAACCGGGGTAGGCTCCGCCCACCAACCGGGGTAGGCTCCGCCCACCAACCGGGGTGGCTCCGCCCACCAACCGGGGTAGCTCCGCCCACCAACCGGGGTAGTTCCCGCCCACTACGCAGGTAGCTCCCGCCCACTACCCGGGTGACCCCGCCCACCACCCATATAGCCCCGCCCACTACTCGGTAGCTCCGCCCACCAACCGGGTAGTCCCCGCCTAATACGCAGTAGCTCCGCCCATTACCCGGGTGACCCCGCCCACCACCCATAGAGCCCCGCCCACTACGCAGCTAGCTCCGCCTTCATGCATTAAGCACGTGGTCAGACAAATGTTAAACCGGGCAGTCTGGTGGCCTTACCCAGTGGGGGAGCTGCTCAAGCATCACAGACTGCCCCGCCCCCTGGGGTTGCCACGTGAACGAGGGTTGATATTTAGACAGAGGGGGCCATGTTCCCGATCCCGTCAAATCTCGGAAGCTAAGCAGGCGTTGGGCTTGGGCAGTGCTTGGATGGGTGAGCACCACGCACAGGAGGCGTTACAGGAGGCAGCAAGAAAGCAAATGAAGTTTCATGATGGACAAGAGGCAGACAGATAGGGACAGACACAGAGACAGGGGCCAGGCAGGGGACAGACAGACGCAGAGACAGGAGACAGACAGAGGCAGGGTGCAGGAGAACAGGGACAGGAGGCAGGGGACAGACAGAGGCAGGAGAACAGGGACAGGAGGCAGGGTGCAGACAGAGGCAGGGTGCAAGAGAACAGGGACAGGAGGCAGGGGACAGACAGAGGCAGGAGACCAAGGACAGGAGGCAGGGGACAGACAGAGACAGGAGACCAGGGACAGGAGGCAGGGGACAGACAGAGGCAGGAGACCAGGGACAGGAGGCAGGGGACAGACAGAGACAGGAGACCAGGGACAGGAGGCAGGGGACAGACAGAGACAGAGACAGGAGACCAGGGACAGGAGGCAGGGGACAGACAGAGGCAGGAGACCAGGGACAGGAGGCAGGGGACAGACAGAGGCAGGAGACCAGGGACAGGAGGCAGGGGACAGACAGAGGCAGGAGACCAGGGACAGGAGGCAGGGGACAGACAGAGACAGGAGACCAGGGACAGGAGGCAGGGGACAGACAGAGGCAGGAGACCAGGGACAGGAGGCAGGGGACAGACAGAGGCAGGAGACCAGGGACAGGAGGCAGGGGACAGACAGAGACAGGAGACCAGGGACAGGAGGCAGGGGACAGACCGGGCGCGGAGTGCGAGCGGAGTCGCAGAGTGGGGAGTGGGGAGCCGCCACTCTCCAGCCTCCCCTGCAGCATGGCGTTGTACTCTGCGCGGGGAGAGCGCAGGCAGAGTGGCGTCAACAACAACAACGACGACGACAACAACAACAGCTCTGCACAACTCTCGCGTGCATCACACCGGAGGGTGGACCCAGCGGTGAATCCCAAGGAGGCGATGAGGGCCACGTGGCTTCTCCCCAACAGACGACGCCACGTGGGACCTGAGTCTCGGTGATGTGCGCCACAGCGCAAACAATCACCGGGCTGTCGTCCGAGTTGTTCGTGCGCGGTTGTCCCCAACAGCGAAACAGCCTCACGCGTGTGTCGAGGCTTCCCACCCCTACCAACAACAACAGCAACAGCCGCTATTCGCCACTAAGTGGCGGTGATGTCACCACGGCGCTCGTGCCAGGCCATGTGCACGTTGAGGCCACGTGAAGTGTCGAACGCCCGCTGGCAGGAGGTCACGGGGCAGACCCAGCAGGTGCCACGGGTCGACTGACTGAGATGAGTGGCTGATGCACCACCTGTGCCCCCCTACTGTGCCAAATTGCTGTGCTTTAGCCACCTGGCGCTCCGCTCGTTGTTGTGAGCGTCGCTCCTCCGGCCTCCGTTGTTGCTGGAGGGCGACTGCCTCCAACTGCCCAGCAGCAGCGTCCTTCACCTCCACCACAAACCCCTCTTCTCTGCCCACGGGACGTTCTTAGATTGCCCCCCCCCTGCGCCAATGGGGTTGGAAATTCCACATTGCCAATGGGAGGGCGAGGCTCAGAATGGGAATGAATCGCTCCCCAAAAAAGGGATAGGTGACGTAAATAGAGGGGGTTGTTGTTTTTGGGTTCGATCTCGTAAATAGAGAAATGTTGTGTCGTTAAACCCCGCCGCCGCCACCACCCGACACAGCCAACTAGTTCGGTTAGTCACGTGAACAGAACGTGGCCGATTCGTCACTAGTGTAATGAGAGCCTATGTCCGGCTCACGTGCTGATTGGCTCTGCCGGTCCTGCTCTACAGCCAATGGGAGGAGAGCCTGCGAGCATGGCCCTGGCGTGATCGAGGGATGTCAGCTAGGATGATTGGTTCTGCTGCTCTTGGTCTCAGCCAATGGGAAGACAAGTCAGGGGCGTGGTCCCGGGAGTTGATGGAGGAATCTGGAACATTCAGCGCAGGCTATTAAGGATTGGCTGGAGCGTACCACGTGACCCAGGCATTAAATAAGGGAAGAGCCGAGGGACACGTGGTCAGACAAGGAACGAAGAGAGAGAGCGAGTGCCACGTGGCGGTGCGTCTCTTGCGATCTGTCTGCCCACTTGCCTTTGCCTGCCAGCAACGGGGAGTGCTTGTGAACTGAGGAAAGTAAATAAAAGGACCGATTCCACAAGCCGTCTCCAGAGTGTTATTACACTAGTACGGCACTAACCGGTGTGTTGGAAAGTAAAACCACACCATTATACAATTACTGATTGGTTGTGTCGGGTGGTGGCGGGTTTAACGACACATATTTACGCGATCTAACCCAATAAACACCTCGATTGTGGATAATATTGGCCGTGAAAGCCCTACCACGTGCTATGTGACGGTCATGAAGATGACGATGCTGACGATACTTTGATGATGAAGATTCATTGATGATGATGATGATTATTATTCTTGACTGTTGAGTATGATGACATCGATTACAGCGGTAGATCGAGCGGCTTGCAATCACAAAATCCCGACTTCAAATCCTGTTTGTGGCGCGGGATGGGTGGGGGAGTGTGACTCAGCCAATCATCATCAGCCCCTCCCTCTGGGGTCGATAAAATAGATACCACTTCACGGTGAAGTCGACAGCGGGGTTTTTGCGATGACAAAAAACATGAAGGAACTTGGAATTTCCACCACTAGCTCTGAAGGGCTGGAGGTCGCGCCGACCAGGTGGGTAGATTTGTGAAAACCGTTACGCCGGTCAGTCCGTTTGTGCATCATCAGCATTGTCGTCATCATCATTGTCGTCATCGTAGTCATTATCATCGTCATCATCGTCATCATCGTCATCATCGTTGCAGTCGTCATTGTCGTCGTCATCATCATCGTCCTCGTCATCCTAACGATGAAACGCCGCTGTCGACTTCGCCATTAAATGGTACTCATTTTGGTTGTCTGGCTGTCCGCCTGATGATGCCGGTTGTAATTACTGGCGAAACGTCGGACTCAGAATGTTAACGTTGTGGATTTGCTCTCCAACACACAACCCGGTGTGCTGTGCCAGTAACGAAATTGGCACGTTCTGTTTACGTGTCTGTCGGGTGGTGGCGGGTTCCACGACACATTTATATTTACGCGATCTAAGCTCAAAAAAACACCTTTGTTGTGGTACCTATTTTATCGACCCCAGAGGGAGGGGATGATGATTGGCTGAGTCACACTCCCCCCCCACCCATCTCGCCCCACCTCCCCGCCCCACAAGCAGGATTTGAACTCGCGACTTTGTGATTGCAAGCCGCTCGGATCTACCGCTGTAATCATTGTCATCAACAAACATGAATCATCATTATCATCATCAATGAATCTTCATCATCAAACATGCTCAGCATCCATCATCGTCATCGTCATGACCCTCACATATCCGTGTAACACGTGGGAGGCTTGCGCGACCGACATTATTCATCGTCGTCGTCGTCATCATCGTTACGATGACGATGATGCACACACCCCGGTCGTCATCATCGTTACGATGACGACGACGACGATGACGCACACATACCAGTCATCATCGTGATGACGACGACGATGATGATGACGATGATGATGACGATGATGACGACGACGAAGACGACGACGATGATGACGACGACGATGATGACGACGACGAAGACGATGACGATGATGACGATGATGATGACGATGATAATGACGATGACGCGCACACACACCGGTCGTCATCACAGCAGAACGAAAGCGCAGGCCGGGAAAAAACCAACAAACAAACCCCACGGTAAGTCTCAAACAGCACACACAGGCACGCACGTGCACCAAGCAGTTCAATCTTGATTTGAAGCTTTCGTAACTGCAGGAATCCATACTCGTTGGTTCTTTCGGTAAAGTCACGTAGGTAGAAATAAAACAAATCACGACGTTTCGATCGCAACACAAGCAGTCGTGTTGCGATCGAAACGTCGTGATTTGTTTGATTTTATTTCTAACCACGTGACTTTAACGAAAGAACCAAAGCGCATCGGCAATTCCTCAGCAACTGCGACTGATGGCTCCTCTCGTCTTAGGGCCACCGTCAACATAGAGCCGAGCAGGACGTGACCGGCTGCGATCGGCAGCAGTGGCAGAGACACAGACTGCGATCAGCAGCAGTGACAGACACAGACTGCGATCAGCAGCAGTGACAGACACAGACTGCGATCAGCAGCAGTGACAGACACAGACTGCGATCAGCAGCAGTGACAGAGACACAGACTGCGATCAGCAGCAGTGACAGACACAGACTGCGATCCGCAGCAGTGACAGAGACACAGACTGCGATCAGCAGCAGTGACAGACACAGACTGCGATCAGCAGCAGTGACAGACACAGACTGCGATCAGCAGCAGTGACAGACACAGACTGCGATCAGCAGCAGTGACAGAGACACAGACTGCGATCTGCAGCAGTGACAGAGACACAGGCTGCGATCAGCAGCAGTGACAGAGACACAGACTGCGATCAGCAGCAGTGACAGAGACACAGACTGCGATCAGCAGCAGTGACAGAGACACAGACTGCGATCTGCAGCAGTGACACAGACACAGACTGCGATCCAGTGACAGAGACACAGACTGCGATCTGCAGCAGTCACAGAGACACAGACTGCGATCTGCAGCAGTGACAGACACAGACTACGATGGGGACCCGTTTCGAGCAATTGCGGCGATGGACGTAGCCTCTGTCCTAACGAGGACGCCTTCCTGTGACCTCTGATAGGAAACAGAGGTCAACTGGGTCAAGCTGGGGGGTCAAACTGGGGTCAAACCGAGGCCTAGCGCCTCCTTCAGTGGCCGAGGCGCGTCACACGGCAGGCCGCGACGCGCGGTGACGGGGAGCGGAATGTCGGACGTGGCGCCGGCCGGCACGCGGCACAGCCCAGAACACAGCGGAGGAGCGATCGGCACATTCACGGCCCTCGTCAGTGGCGCCGCCTCGGAGGAGACCCACGCGTGCGAGGGGCAGGCGAGTCAACCCACTTGCTGTACTGCCGGCGCACCCTGGCCGGAGGCCGGGATACGGCTCCTCCTCCTGCGACTCCCACGGGTTCGGGAGGAGGGTGAGCGAGCGAGTCTGTTAGTACTGGGTGAGCGAGCGGGTGAGCGAGCGAGTCCGTTAGTACTGGGCGAGTAAGTCCATTAGTACTGGGTGAGCGAGCGGGTGAGCGAGCGAGTCCGTTAGTACTGGGCGAGTGAGTCCGTTAGTACTGGGTGAGCGAGCGGGTGAGCGAGCGAGTCCGTTGGTACTGGGCGAGTGAGTCCATTAGTACTGGGTGAGCGAGCGGGTGAGCGAGTGAGTCCATTAGTACTGGGTGAGTCCATTAATACTGGGTGAGCGAGCGGGTGAGCGTGTGAGTGAGTGAGTGAGTCCATTAGTACTGGGCGAGTGAGTCCATTAGTACTGGGTGAGTCCATTAATACTGGGTGAGCGAGCGGGTGAGCGTGTGAGTGAGTGAGTCCATTAGTACTGGGTGAGTCCATTAATACTGGGTGAGCGAGCGGGTGAGCGTGTGAGTGAGTGAGTGAGTCCATTAATACTGGGCGTGTGAGTGAGTCCGTTAGTACTGGGCGAGTGAGTCCGTTAGTACTGGGTGAGCGAGTGGGTGAGTGTGTGAGTCCGTTAGTACTGGGCGAGTGAGTCCGTTAGTACTGGGTGAGCGAGCCGGTGAGCGAGTGAGTCCGTTAGTACTGGGCGAGTGAGTCCATTAGTACTGGCTGAGCGAGCGGGTGAGCGAGTGAGTCCGTTAGTACTGGGTGAGCGAGCGGGTGAGCGAGTGAGTCCGTTAGTACTGGGTGAGCGAGCGGGTGAGCGAGTGAGTCCGTTAGTACTGGGTGAGCGAGCGGGTGAGCGGGTGAGTGAGTCCGTTAGTACTGGGTGAGCGAGCGGGTGAGCGGGCGAGTGAGTCCGTTAGTACTGGGTGAGCGAGCGGGTGAGCGGGCGAGTGAGTCCATTAGTACTGGGTGAGCGAGCGGGTGAGGGGATGAGTGAGTCCGTTAGTACTGGGTGAGCGAGCGGGTGAGTGAGTAAGTCCGTTAGTACTGGGTGAGCGAGCGGGTGAGTGAGTAAGTCCGTTAGTACTGGGTGAGCGAGCGGGTGAGTGAGTAAGTCCGTTAGTACTGGGTGAGCGAGCGGGTGAGTGAGTAAGTCCGTTAGTACTGGGTGAGCGAGCGGGTGAGTGAGTAAGTCCGTTAGTACTGGGTGAGCGAGCGGGTGAGTGAGTAAGTCCGTTAGTACTGGGTGAGCGAGCGGGTGAGTGAGTAAGTCCGTTAGTACTGGGTGAGCGAGCGGGTGAGTGAGTAAGTCCGTTAGTACTGGGTGAGTGAGTGAGTCCATTAGTAGAGCGCTGCAGGCCACCGTGCCTTGTTCCGATGACCCCCCGTGTCTAAATAGAACCCGGACCCTCTGTCTGTCTCACGTTCCCTGTCTCTCTCTCCCTCCCTCTACGTCTCGCTGTGTCTCTGTCTCACATTCCCTGTCTCTCTCTCTGTCTCACAGTCTCTCTCTCTCTGTCTACTGGACACAGCTGGCTTCTCATCGGATTCGTCCAGTCTAAAGGTTCTGATTCAGAGTATGTCTCACAGTCTCGCTCTCCGTCTCTCTGTGTCTGTCCTTCTCGCTACGTCTCTCACCGATAACTCGAATAGCGCCGACGTCAGCCCCGCAGCTTCTGGCACCGGGGGGAAGATTGATCTCAACCCATCATCACCATTCCTCCGGGGTCAATAAAATAGGTACCACTTTGGTGGGAAGTTCAACCAGTGGTTTGTCCGACAACGAGACTTGGCCCCCACGTTGGGAATGTGGAATTTCCACCGCCGGCTCAGGGCTGCAAGCGGGAGATGATGAGCACCGGTGGCCTCAAGTGTCGGAGGGTTACTGGAAAAACAGAGAGACGGCCGCCCCCTGGCATCGAAGCCTGTGGCACCACCTGAAACTAGCCGGGGGCCACGGGAACACAGGCACGGCAACCGTAGCCCCCCCCCCCCCCCCCACACACACACAAAACCCCGAGCGCCGGGATGGTGCCGGACTTTTTTGCGCACTGGCGCCGGCAAAACGGGGGAAACCCCGGCGGCCACGGGGGTTTTGCGGTGAAGTCGTCCCCACCTGACACGCGTTGCCGCACCAGCCCCGCCAGGCTGTACTCCTCCTCCTCCTCCCCCTCCTCCCCCTCCTCCTTTTCCTCCTCGCCGGTGCCGTCTCCACCGTGTCCCGGCAACGGGGGGCTGGCACGGGCACCAGCGCCGAAGCCTCCGAAACCGCCGCTGGTACCGCCAACACTACCAGAAGCACCGCCGGTGCCACCAAAACCCCCGGAACCAACAAACCCACCACCACCTCCGATACCGCCGCTGCCGCCAAAGCCACCGCTACCACCACCAGCACCACCAGCAGCAGCAGCAGCAGCACCGTGACCACCCAGTGGCCCCCCCCACGCCGGCCCGGCCGGGCGGGGGGTTAGCGCGGTGGGCGCGACGGTGCCGATGGGGCCCAGCGACTGGAAGGGCGTGCGCACCGCGCCGAACGGCACATAGCGCGGTAGCGACGACGGCGACGGCGGCGGAGGAGGCGCTGGGGAGCGGCGCACCGGCTGCGGCGACGGCGGCGGCACGTTGGCCCGGCGGGCCGCGTGGGGGGGCGGCGGCGGCGGCAGAGGAGGGGGAGGAGGGGGAGGAGGAGGAGGTGGGGGAGGGGGAGGGGGAGATGGTGACGGCACCCCGAGAGGTCTCGCCAGGCCGGGCGCCGGCGAGATGCGGTGGCGCGTCGCGCCGTACGGCGCGGGCGCGGCCGCGGCGGCCGGCGCCGGAAAGAGGAGGCCGCCGTGGGGCCGAGGCGTCGGGTGAAATGAAGAGGGAGGAGCGGGAAGAGGAGGAGGAGGTGGCGGGAGCGGCGAGGAGGAGGACGACGAAGAGGAGCGAGGAGCGCCGATGGAACGGGCGAGAGGCTCCGGCGAGAACCGGGCCGCCGGGGAGAGGGCGCGGCCCACGGTGGGGCCGGCAGCAGCGTGCGCGTAGCGGCCCTCCTCGTTACCTCCGCATGGCGACGCTCCTCCTCCTCCTCCGCTCGTGCTGCCGTAGCCCCCGTGGATCCCGTGATCACCGTAGCCTCCGTGGGCTCCGTGGGCTCCGTGGGTTCCATAGCCCCCGTGGGCCCCGTGGGTTCCGTGAGCCTCATGGACCTCGTGGGCCCCGTGGGTTCCGTGGGCCTCGTAACCCCCATGGGCCCCGTGGGCCTCGTGGGCCCCATGGGTCCCGGCCGCCGGCGTCAAGAATCCGGGGTCGAGGTCCAGCATGAGCAGGTTGAGCTGCGCCACGCTCGCGTCCGTGCCAGCCGGCGCCGCGTCCCACCCACGCGGCGCCTCGCCAACGCCCGTGCCCGCCGGGAGCCAGCCCCAGCTCTCGGGCACCGCCGCGTGGCCGCTCTGCCGCTGCTGCTGCTGGTGCAGCTGGTAATGTTCCAGCTGGTACAGCTGCTGCGGCTGCTGCAGTGGCTGGTAGCGCTGGTAGTGCTCCGGCGGCGGCGGCGGCTGCTGCTGTTGGAAGGAGACCCGGGCCTCGTGCGCCGCGGGCGGCCGGTAGCCGTAGTAGCGCGCCTCTGCCGGCGCCTGCCGGGGATGCGGCGTCGCCGGCGCCGGCGAGTACCCCGGCTCGTCGTCCAGGATGTCCGTCTCCCGCAGCGCGGGGGCCCCCGTGAAGCCGCCGCCGCCGCCGCGCGTGCCGTTCACGTGCACCAGCGCCGGCACCGTGTAGCGACCCCCGGCGCCGGCTACTCCGCCGAAGCCTCCGCCGGGCCTGCCGGCGCGGCCCGCCATGGCCGCGGGGTCGCCCCGCCGCGGCGAGGGCGGCACGCGGTCCGTGTGGTCGGTCCTGGCGGACGCCGACGAGTTCCCCGAGTCGGCGCTACGGGATCGAGCGTGCTGCTGCTGCTGCTGGAGCTGCTGCTGCTGGTGCGCTCCTGGCCGTCCCCCGCCGAGACTCGGCGCGCCGGCGCCTGCTGTGCCGTTGTTGTTGCTGTTGGTGGTGTGGCCGGGGCCGCGTCGGTGCGGCGAGCGTGCGGTGCTGCGCACGCTGGCGTACACGCCGCCGTCCAGAGGGCCCCGCGCCACGTCTGGGGGGCGGGGAACAGCGCGGCACTCACCGTCACCACCACAAAGACAAAGATCCCCCGTATAGCCTCTAACAGACTGTTGGGGCAAGTGCTGTTAGCGAGCACCTATGAAGGACGGCACGGCACACGAGGGGGTGGGTGACCAGCACCACGCCCGGCTGCCTTTGTCTCCCCGGTGGCGATTTTTACACACCGCACCAGGTACACATTTGACTACGCCACTGCTCACCGACCGCACAGTCTGACAAAGCTGTCCTCTGCAGTTAACACAGAGAACAGAACTCACTCACCACTCCATACTCACGAGTAACAACATCGTACACACCACCACGTACTCACTCACAGTCACACGTGGCTGTCACAGCCAAACACGCAATCACCGGACACTCACGGCTCCATGCTCACCGCTAAACCACACCACCCTCACCACCCTCACCACCCCACACTCGGATCTACACACTCCGCACCCATACAGCTGAGCAGCAGCTGCAGACAGTCACACTCACCCGCACGCTCACCACTCACCCACCCACACGCTCGCCACTCACCCACACGCTCGCCACTCACCCACCCACACGCTCGCCACTCACCCACCCACACGCTCGCCACTCACCCACCCACGCTCGCCACTCACCCACGCGCTCGCCACTCACCCACACGCTCGCCACTCACCCACACGCAGCAGCAGGAGCTCTCAGCTGGGCACCGCGGTTGTTCGCGTCCCACAAACCACGACCCCACCCAGCGGGGTCGTCGCTCCTCACCGTGACCCCCTTTACCACGACCCACTTCACCGCGACCCCCTTCACCACGACCCCCGGTGCAAGGGGCCGGTGAGGCCGGCACAGGGCACCAGCTCCGGCCACAACACGAACCGCCACCACCGCCGCCGCGAACACCACCGCCGCGAACACCACCGCCGGACGGACACTCGCACGCGGTGTGGACGTGAACCCAACCACTGCTCCTGCTGCCCCGAGCGCTCTCCACCCACCCCCTCCCACCGCTCTCAACCCCCTTCGCCCACCCACCACCACGACCCCCCCGTTTTGCAAGGCTATTTATTCCCTGGGGCTATTAATAGCTACAATTACGGGGCTCCCCTTCGGGGCGGCAGCAGCAGCGGCAGCTGAGATTGTTTGCGCCACTCGCCACGAAAGCTGGGAGCTGCCAGGACACGGGCGGATCCAGCGTGTGCGGGTCAAGGTGTGTTCCCGGGGTCAGGGTTCGAGGCCATGGTGCTAGGGTCAGGGGTCATGATGCTAGGGTGAGGGCCATGGGTCACGGTGCTGGGGTCAGAGTTACGGTGTTGGGGCGAGTTATCCGGTTAGTGCTGCTAGTGAGCGCCGATGAAGGCCGGCACGGCACGCGTCTTTGCCTCCCGAGTGGCAGTCTCTACACACCAGACGCCATAGACTCATTTGAGGCCGAGTCGACCTAGGGGTGGCCCAGGACCGGTTCAGATATTTCGTCACCGGCGTTGACCGTGAGAGGGAATCGAACTCGGGTGGCCGGGTTCGTAGGCTAATCACTGCGCCACTACTCCTCCTCCCCCTCCTCCTCCACACACACACACAAACTACCCGGGTTCGATTCCCGCTCACGGCCAACGCCAGTGACGATGATCTGAACCGGTCCTGGGCCTCCCCTAGGTCGACTCAGCCTCAAATGAGAACCTGGTGCGGTGTGTAAACATCGCCACTGGGGAGACAAAGGCGGTCGGGCGTGGTTCTGGCCACCCACCCCCTCGTGTGCCGTGCCGGCCTTCATAAGTGCTCGCTAACAGCACTTGCCCCTACAGTCTGTTAAGGCTACACGGGGGATCTTTGTCTTTGTAGTTCCCGTGAGGGTGAACGAGCCCCACAGTTCTTCCCAGGCCACACGGCGGCACTGTCCTTGCCTACAGCCACAACAGTTCTGGCTTTAGGGGCAGCTAAATACGACTCTCATCACGGTCGCTTGGCTGAAATGTCCGTAAAATAAATATAGAAAAATGTTCAGCCGCGGTTTAAAAATGAACCAAGGCTCAGCAAGCACACACACACGCACAAAGATCCCCCGTGTAGCCTTAGACTGTAGGGGCAAGTGCTTTTAGTGTGCACCTATGAAGGCCGGAACGGTACACGAGGGGGTGGGTGGCTAGCACCACTCCCGACCGCCTTTGTCTCCCCAGTGGCGATGATTTTACACACCGCACCAGGTACTCATTTGAGGCTGAGTCGACCTAGGGGAGGAGGCCCAGGACCGGTTCAGATAATCGTCACCGGTGTCGACTGTGAGCAGGAATTGAACCCGGGTCGCTGGGTTCACAGCGCAACGCGCTAACCACTACGCGACCGCTCCCCACACACACAAATGCATGGACACACACACATACACACACATACACACACACAAATGTATGGACACACACACAAATGTATGGACACACACACATACACACAAATGTATGGACACACACACACACACAAATGTATGGACACACAACACACATACACACACATGAGACAACCAGGACCCAGGGGTCAATCAATTGCTTGACACGGCCATCATGAACCTTCGAAAATAAAATAAAAATCACCCACACCCAGGGCTTGAACCCAGCACATCTCAGCAGTACTGGCTCAATGTCCCGGACATGACCATCATCAACTCCCTCCCCCCCCTCATTGCGAGCCAGCGAGGAACACCGCTAGGAGGGCACGGGTTGTTGTTTGGCTGCAGTCGTAGGGAAGACCACGGGGATTGAGGGGGGAGCGGGCGGTGGGTGGTGGGTGGGTTGGTGGGGGAGGCTCAGGAATGGCTTGTGGAGGAATGTGCGAAGCGGGGTTGGGGGTATGTGGGGGGTAGTAGGGGGGGGGGGGCTGAAAGGCGACCCACACCCCCCCAAACCCCTGTGGTGCATCCCTTCCGTCACGGCTACACGCAACAGACACATGGCTCAGCTCCCTCCCTCCGCTAACGCGTGTTACACACGTGTGTGTCAGTGTGTGTGTGTGTGTCAGTGTGTGTGTGTCAGTGTGTGTGTCGGTGTGTGTGTCAGTGTGTGTGTGTCGGTGTGTGTGTGTGTGTCAGTGTGTGTGTGTCAGTGTGTGTGTGTTAGTGTGTGTGTCGGTGTGTGTGTGTGTCAGTGTGTGTCAGTGTCTGTGTCAGTGTGTATGTCAGTGTGTGTGTCAGTGTGTGTATGTCAGTGTGTGTGTGTGTCAGTGTGTGTGTCAGTATGTGGCCTCAAGGTGCACATAGCTTGGCACAAGCGTCGTGGTGACGTCGCCGCCACTTAGTGGCGAATGGCGGTTGTTGTTGTGTGAGCGGTAGTGTAGCGGTCAGCGCTACGTTGCGAACCCGGCGAACCAAGTTCGATTCACGCATGCGTCCAACATCGGTTACGATTATCTGAACCGGTGCTGGGCCTACCCTAGGTCGACTTAGCCTAAAATTAGTACATGGTGCGGTGTGTAAACATCGTCACTGGGGAAACAAAGGTGGCCGGGCGTGGTGTTGGCCACCCACCCCCTCGTGTGCCGCGCCGGCCTTCATAGGTGCTGCTACTCGCTAACAGCACTTGCCCCAACAGTCCATTAGAGGCTATACGGGGGATCTTTGCCTTTGTGTTGTGCGCATGTGTGCGGGGGAGTGGTGGCGCAGTGGTTGGCGCCGCGCAGGCCTACGCACCCGGCGGAGACCCGAGTTCGATTCCCCCGCGCTCACGACCGATGATAGTGACAGCGAATATTTGAACCAGTTCCGAGTCTCCCCTAGGTCGACTCGGCCTCAAACGAGTACCTGGTGCACTGGGGAGACAAAGGCAGCCGGGCGGGGTGCTATCCACAACGCGCAGTATCAGTCTCAAAACGTGCTCGTTATGACAGCACTTGCCCCAACAGTCGGCTAAGTGTATCATGGTGTACATGTCTGTGTGTGTGTGTGCATGTAAATGTATGTCTCCATGTTGCTGTGTCTCCGTGTGTCCCCAAGTCTCCCGCATCTCCGTGTCTCCCCATGTCCCCGCCGTGTCTCCCCGTGGTGTCTCCCCGTGGTGTCTCCTCCCGGCGTCTCCCCGTGGTGTCTCCCCGCCGTGTCTCCCCCCGGCGTCTCCCCGCGGTGTCTCCCCGCCGTGTCTCCCCCCGGCGTCTCCCCCTGTGTCTCCCCGTGGTGTCTCCCCGCCGTGTCTCCCCGCGGTGTCTCCCCGTGGTGTCTCCCCGTGGTGTCTCCCCGTGGTGTCTCCCCCCGGTGTCTCCCCCGTGGTGTCTCCCCGTGGTGTCTCCCCGTGGTGTCTCCCCACGGCGTCTCCCCAGTGGTGTCTCCCCGCGGTGTCTCCCCGCCGTGTCTCCCCCGCCATGTCTCCCCGCGGTGTCTCCCTGCCCCCCGTGTCTCACCGCTGTCTCTGTGCGCGTTCACGAAGCTCTCGTAGGAGTCCCAGCGGACGAGCGGGTCCGACGATCCGTAGCGCACTCGCACCCCGGGCCCGTTCGGCAGCTCCACGCAGTCTGAGACGTGGGGGTCACGGGGTCAGGGTTCGACATTCAGAGTCTCATCAGCGGGGTCAGGCTCGCGGGATCAAGGTAGCCTGGCACGTGTTAATCACTGGCAAGGCCTCCTCTCTCTCTATACGAGACCGGGTAAGGGGTTGTCCTGGTTCACCACTTTAAAAAAAAAAACTTTGATAGACAACAACAACAACGACAACACCAACCCAATCATTGGCGCCGTTTCGGAGAACACAAGCACCACCAAATCATCAGACTATCCCCCCCCGCCCCCCCCGCTCCCCCCCACATACAAGAGTCGAGCGTCCCGCCAGGCCGGAGGAGCGAGCGAGAGCGGCCGCGAGGCAAAGCGGCACGTCAGCTGAAGATGAAATTAGCTCTCGCTGTCAGCCGCGACTTCCACGGACGTGATTAACGATGGGGCAGTGGGGGGGGGGGAGAAGGGACCTTTACCGGCGGGCGACAACCTCTCTGAAGCCGTGGGCTCCAAGCGGTAAAAGTAAAAAAAAAATTCACCAAGCGAGTGAACGAGCGAGCTGCTGATGAGACACTGGATGTCGAAACCGGACCAGAGAAGGAAGGTCGTGTGGCTGATGGCATGTTCAAAAGAGATATATATACACACAGACACACACACTTTTCTGTCTTACGTGGAGGGACGCGTGTGTGTGCGTGTACGTGTGTGCGTGTGTGCGTGCGTGTGTGTGCATGTGTGTGCGTGCATGTGTGTGCGTGCGTGTGTGTGCGTGCATGTGTGTGCGTGCGTGCATGTGTGTGCGTGCGTGTGTGTGTGCGTGTGTGTGCATGTGTGTGCGTGCGTGTGCGTGCGTGTGTGTGCGTGTGTGTGCGTGTGCATGCGTGTGCGTGCGTGTGTGTGCGTGTGCATGTGTGTATGTGCGTGTGTGTGCGTGTGGAACTTGTTCCGCACCGTGCGTACCCAGCCGTGCTAATCGGAGGTGCGGGGGAAGGACAACAAACTGAACGCAAAGAGCAGCTCTGAAGGGGCGAGTTTGTCCAGTCTAGATGATGATGATGATGATTTTAAAATGGCATAATCTCCCAATGGCTTCCTAACATCGGACGGCAGGAGCGTTCCAGACGGCCGCAGGAGCCGCGCGTCTGGAAGCGCGCCAGCCACAAGGACGAGCGCGGTCGGAGTGGCCGATGGTTTACGGCGGCGGCGGCGGCGGTAGCGCGTGGCCCGGTGACTGGGAGCGAGCTCTGGTGTTGAGCGAGAGGAGGCATCGTCGCGGCCTTCGTGGCCTTCGTGGGTCCCCAGGGGGGCCGCCGGGGGCCCGACGGCCGGGGGGGGGGGGGGGTGGGGGACCCGCGGCCCGAAGCGATGGTCCGACGTTTCGTTCCGCGTGTTGCGACCTCCGTCGGGAAAGCGAACGTCGAGTTGGTCTACCGGGGCGGGTCTGCAATACGGCGGCGAGGTGGTGGCGGTGGTGGCGGTGGTGGCGGTGGTGGAGGTGGGGGAGGTGGTGGTGGTGGAGGTGGTGGTGGAGGTGGGGTTGGCGGGTGACGTGGCGGTTGGTGGTGGAGGTGGGGGAGGTGGTGAGGGTGGAGGTGGTGAGGGTAGAGGTGGTGGTGGGTGGTAGTGGTGAGGGTGGGGGTGGTAGTGGTGAGGGTTGAAGTGGTGGTGGAGTGGTGGTGGAGGATGTGGTGGATGGTAGTGGTGAGGGTGGGGGTGGTGAGGGTGGGGGTGGTGAGGGTAGAGGTAGAGGTGGTGGTGGGTGGTGGTGGTGAGGGTGGTGGTGGTGGGGGTCTATTCCGGGCTTCTCGCCGCGGGCGATGACGCCGCGAGGGGGTGGCCGTCGCCCCCCTCCCCGCCCCCCCCCCCCCGCCCCCCCACCGGGTCGCATTCACTGGGGGCAGCGAAATTCAGCCGCCCAGGGCCAGCGGGGGTCACACCACGCACGCACGTGGTGTGTGCGTGTGTGTGTGTGGTGTGTGTGTGTGTAGGTGTGTGTGTGTAGGTGTGTGTGTGTGTGTGCGTAGGTGTCATATGCATGCGTACGTGCATCTCCACATGTCCACGTGTGCGTGTGTGCACGTGTGCGCATGTGTACATAGGTGTGTGTGCACGTGTGTGGCGGTTAGTGCGCTGCGCTGCGAACCCGGTGATGCGGGTTCGATTCCCGCTCACGGCCAACACCGGTGACGATTATCTGAACCGGTCCTGGGCCTCCTCTAGGTCGACTCAGCCTCAAATTAGTACCTGGTGCGGTGTGTAAACATTGCTACTGGGGAGACAAAGACGGCCGAGCGTGGTGCTGGCCACCCACCCCCCCTCGTGCGCCGTGCCGGCCTTCATAGGTGCTGCTCGCTAACAGCACTTGCCCCAACAGTCTGTTGAGACTACACGGGGGGGGGGGAGTGGATCTTTGTCTTTGTGGCGGCAGTGCCCAGGGTGGGCCCCGCTCTCCGCGCGGCTCCACCAAACAAGGGAGCGCGCCGCCGTGACCCCCGTGACCCCCGCGGGCACCGATTTGGAGATGACCAACGCAGGGCGTCCGGATATCTCCACGCACACACGTACGCACACACACGCACACACACGTACGCGTGTGTACGTGCGTGTGTGTGGGGAGCGGTAGTGTAGCGGTTATTGCCCTGGTGAACTCGGGTCACGAGCCTGGTGACCCGAGTTCGATTTTACCGCTCACGGCCAACACCCAGTGACTCTCATCTGCACCGGGCCTGGGCCTCCCCTAGGTCGACTCAGCCTCAAATGAGTACCTGGTGTCGTGCGTAAAAACATCGCCACTTGGGAGGAAAAGGTGGTCGGGCGTGGTGCTGGACACCCACCCCCCCCCCCCCGTGTGCCGTTCTGGCCTTCATAGGTGCTCGCTAACAGGGCTTGCCCCAACAGTCTTAAGGCTATATGGGGGATCTTTGTCTTTGTGTGCAGAGGAGGCTCGTAAAGGACGCTGCTGCTACTGGGCTACATTTGGAGGCAGTCGCCCTCCAACAACAGCGAAGGGCAGAAGAGCGACGCTCACAACAACGAGCGCCGGGCGGCTAAAACGCAGCGAGTTGGCACAGTGGGGAGCACAGGTGGCGCATCGGCCGGTCAACTCAGTCAGTTGACCCATGGCACCACCTGTCCCGTGACCTCCTGCCAGCAGGCGTTCGACATTTCACGTGGCCTTAAAGTGCACCTAGCCTGGCACGAGCGCCGCGGTGACATCAACGTCACTTTGTGCGAATGGTGGCTGTTGTGGTTGTGTATGTATGTGGTGTGTAGTTTGTGTGTGTACGCGGTGTGTGTGTTGTGTACATGGTGTGTGCGTGTGTGCGTGTGTGTGTGGTGTGTGTTGTGTACGTGGTGTGTGCTGTGTACGTGGGGTGTGTGTGAGTTGTGTACGTGGTGTGTGTTGTGTATGTAGTGTGTGTTTGTACATGTTGTGTGTACGTGTACGTGTTGTGTGTGTGTGTGTACGTGGTGTGTGTGTGTGTACGTGGAGTGTGTGTGTGTTGTGTACGTGGTGTGTGTGTGTGTGTTGTGTACGTGGTGTGTGTTGTGTACGTGGTGTGTGTTGTGTACGTGGTGTGTGTTTGTACATGTTGTGTGTACGTGTACGTGTTGTGTGTGTGTTGTGTACGTGTTGTGTGTGTGTTGTGTACGTGTTGTGTGTGTGTGTACGTGGTGTGTGTGTGTGTACGTGGTGTGTGTGTGTGTGTACGTGGTGTGTGTGTGTGTACGTGGTGTGTGTGTGTGTACGTGGTGTGTGTGTGTGTACGTGGTGTGTGTGTGTACGTGGTGTGTGTCACCCACAAACCCACCTTTGGACGACTCTGGCCTCGTGGACAGCTTGAACTCCACCTTTCCTTGCTGTGGGAACCTCTCATCTGCCGCAGAGGAAGCACACACAAAGACAAAGACCCCCCGTGTAGCCTTTAACAGACTATTGGGGCAAGTGCCGTTATTGAGCACCTATGAAGGCCGGCACGGCACACGAGGGGGTGGGCGGCCAACACCACGCCCGCCCACCTTTGTCTCCCCAGTGCTAATGTTTACCGCACGAGGTATTCATTTAAGGCTGAGTCGATCTAGGGGAGGCCCAGGACTGAGGTTCAGTTTTTCACCGTGACTGGTGTTGGACAAGAGCGGGAATTGAACTCGGATCGCCGGTGTCGTAGTGCGGCGCGCTAACCACTGCGCCACCACTCCCTACACGCACGCACGCACGGAGCGGTGTGTCCGTGCACACGATGACCAGACTTGGTGGTGGTGGTGGAAATCTTGGTTGTGGTGGCAACGGTTGTGCCGATTGTAGTGGCGGCGGGCTGTCAACACCGGGCACTACAATCGCGGTTCTCTATCGGTTCTCTACTGGTTTATTTTTTCGTTTCTCTACAGATTAATGATCGTATCTCTGCTGGTTAATTATCGTATCTCTCTTCTTGGTTCTTTCGGTAAATTCACGTAGAAGGGAACTAATAAAATAAAAAATATATAACATGATAAAAAATTATTTTATTATTTCCCTTCTAAGTGACTTTACCGAAAGAACCAAGAAGATGAATCCCTGCAGTCACGAAAGCTTTGAATCGAAAGATCGTATCTCTACTGGTTAATCATCGATTCCCTATTGGTTTGTTATCGATTCCCTACTGAATTTTGATTTAAAGCTTTCGTGACTGCAGGGATTCATCTTCTTGGTTCTTTCGGTAAAGTCACGTAGAAGGGAAATAATAAAATAATAAAAATTAAACATCATAAAATAATTCTCACGACGTTTCGGCCACAACGCAAGCAGCCGTTGTGGCCGAAACGTCGTGAGAATTATTTTATGATGTTTTATTTTTATTATTTTATTATTTCCATTCTACGTGACTTTACCGAAAGAACCAAGAAGATGATTCCCTACTGGTTTGTTATCGGTTTCCTACTGGTTCGTTATCGATTCTCTGCCGGTTCTCCTTCCGGTACCTCCACCCCCCCCCATGGTGGGGTTCCGTGGCGAGGGGGTGGGGGAGGGGCTCCGCTCCGTACCGGTGTTTGCGTGATCCAGTTCGTGTTTTGCGAAGCAGAGCGGCAGGCCCTGCACGGCCCCTGTGTGGAACTGGACTCGGAAGACCTCGTCCCGCCCCGCACTGCCAAACCGCTTGTGGTAGCACTTCACCTGCACACGCACGGCCACACAGACGCCGCATCCTCATCGTCGTCGTCGTCATCATCATCGTCGTCGTCATCCTCAATTGTCATCCTCATCATCATCGTTATCATCCTCGTCGTCATCCTCATCATCATCCTCGTCGTCATCCTCATCATCATCGTTATTATCATCATCGTCATAATTTTCGTCGTTATCCTCATCGTCATCCTCATCATCATCGTTGCTATCATCATCATCATGTTTATCATCATTGTCATCTACGTCGTCATCCTCAATGTCATCCTCATCGTTATCATGATCATCCTTGTTATCATCATCGTTGTTATCATCATCAGCAGCAGCATGAGCAGCAGCAGTTGCAGCATACAGCAGCAGCAGCTATGATCTCTCCACTGCTGTGTGAAGTTCTCACAGCACTCTCCCACACAGCCTGTGCGTGTGTGCGTGTGGCGGTGCGGTGTGCGTCACGTGAATAGAAGAACGAGAACCGCAGTGCCCGGAGAACACCCGGGGGCGGGGTTGGGGGGCATGGCGAGGGGGGAGTGCCGGGGGGTGGGGGTGTGGTGGTTCTCACCAGGATGTCCCCCTTGAGCATGAGCGCCGGCTGGATGCCGATGCAGAGCTGATCGGTGCTCCCTTGCTGCACGTCGCTGCACACAGCGCAGAGGGCGGGCACATAGCGCAGAGTCCCCCGCCCGCCCGCCCGCTCGCCCCCCCCCCCCCCCCCCCGGCCAGTCTCCAGATCTTTCAAGGATTTGTGAGCTCCTCACACAATCCAGCCTGGTTAAGCCTAGGATGGATCGTAGGCAGGCCAGCCTAAATGTTTTTAAATGACCGTGGCCGAGAAGACCCGAAGCTTCGTGCGGAGCGACAGACCAGGTAGCTTCCATACAGCCTTACGCAGCCGATGAAAAGACAACGCCGCTCGACTAATTCGGAGTGAGACCTCTGCTGTTAAACCGGAGCCGGTCATAAGCACACTGCCCAGGTATGGAAAACTTTCCACTCTCTCCACAACTGCCCTATCACTAATTGGGAGTTGTGGGGGTGGAGTGTCTGATGGTAAAAATACCCAGGCAGGTGCTTAGTTTTGGTGGGGCTGCTGGTAAGGCCCCACCTCTTAGTGGCATGCTCCAGGTTCAGCAGCAGTGCCTCCAACTCCTCTTCTGAGTGAGTAGCAATCACCAGATCATCGGCATACATAACATGGTTGACCAATAGGGAGCCATCCCTTCATCGCACCCAGGCATCAATCAACCTCACATAATATTTGTACCAGATGGAAATTCCTCCGGTACAGCTATCGAAGGCATCACGAACTACATGGTCGAAATTTATGTTAAATAATGTAGGAGCCAGAGGACATCCCTGTCGCACCCCAAGGTGAACAGGGAATGGCTCCATCTCCGGCCACGTAGTTTTACCCGGGCCTGCTCAACATGATTGTGAGCAGAGAGTCAAGGACTCTGAAAGCACGAAGAACAACCCAGAGCCCAGGCCTACTGATGGTATCAGTAGGCCTGGGCAATAAATAAAGCAAAGATGTAGGTCTTGTGGGAATTCTTTACACCTCTGCTATAGCAGACGGACAGAAAATATGGCATCTGTCCAGGAACGCACACACACACACACGTAGACACACACGCAGATACATGGACGCACACACACACACGTGGACACACACGCAGACTCATGGACACACACACACGTGGACACACACGCAGACACATGGACGCACACACACACGTGGACACACACGCAGACTCATGGACGCACACACACGTGGACACACACGCAGACACATGGACGCACACACACACAGACACATGGACACACACACGTGGACACACACGCAGACACATTGACGCACACACACACGTGGACACACACGCGTGCGTACGCGGCCGCATTTGTGCTCAGACCATCGGCCGTTGCTGAAGAACTGGTCACGTGGTGTGTGCTAATCGCTACGATTCAGCTCACAGCTCCGGCTGTCCGCTGTCTAATCTGGGGCTAGATGCGGCTGCAGGAGGGTGTTCTTTGACGACGCTGAAACGATCGGAATTGGCATGGATAGAGAGGAATGAGCAGATAAGAGGATTGCAGAAAAGCTATGTAAGCTCTGTAAATATTGTTTTATTTTACCAGGTAAGGTCCCTCTGAGCTACGTAGCTCTTTTTCACAAGCGACTTGGCCACGAATGAGAGGCTCAACGGAATGGCTCATCGTCGTCGTCGTCGCGTGGAAATCTACGGCAGCCAAATACTCCGAACGCGTGTTACGTCGATTCTCAAATGTGGAGTGGAAAAACGGAGGACCCGGAGAAAAATCCACGCGACCATGGGGAGAAAGACATGCAAATTCCAAATATACAGCAGCAGGCGTCAGGGTCGGGATCGAACCCATGACCTCCTGTATACCAGGCGAGGTAGTTAACATCTCACAGAACCCACGACCTCCTGTATACCAGGCGAGGTAGTTAACATCTCCTAGCCACCGCGGGTGAGGGTGTGCGTCGTACTCACTAGACGCCCGAGGTGCACACGAGCTGCATGCCCTGGTACACCTTGATGAAGAGGCAGCAGCAATCTGTGTGGCACGGGGGAGGGGTGGGGGGTGGGGGCAGGGGGGTGGGGGTTAGCGGGCACAGCCAGGACGCCGCCGCGGCACCAATCAGAATCAGCTCCCAACATCGTGGACCAATCAAAGTCAGCTCTTAACTTCGTGGACCAATCAAAGTCAAAGTCAGCTCCTAACCATCGTGTGCCAGCAGCAGCAGCTACAGCAGCAGCTGTGCCGTCAGCAGCAGTAGCTGCTGTAGCAGCAGCTGCTGTCAGCAGCAGCAGCTGTGTCAGCAGCAGCTGTGTCAGCAGCAGCAGCTGTGTCAGCAGCAGCTGCTGTGTCAGCAGCAGCTGCTGTGTCAGCAGCAGCAGCTGTCTCAGCAGCAGCTGCTGTGTCAGCAGCAGCTGCTGTGTCAGCAGCAGCAGCTGTGTCAGCAGCAGCAGCAGCAGCAGCAGCTGTGTCAGCAGCAGCTGTGTCAGCAGCAGCAGCAGCTGTGTCAGCAGCAGCAGCTGTGTCAGCAGCAGCAGCAGCTGTGTCAGCAGCAGCAGCTATGTCAGCAGCAGCAGCTATGTCAGCAGCAGCAGCAGCTGTGTCAGCAGCAGCAGCTGTGTCAGCAGCAGCAGCTGTGTCAGCAGCAGCTGCTGTGTCAGCAGCAGCTGCTTTGTCAGCAGCAGCAGCTGTGTCAGCAGCAGCAGCTGTGTCAGCAGCAGCAGCAGCAGCTGTGTCAGCAGCAGCAGAACCAGCTGTGTCAGCAGCAGCAGAACCAGCTGTGTCAGCAGCAGCAGAACCAGCTGTGTCAGCAGCAGCAGCAGCTGTGTCAGCAGCAGCAGCTATGTCAGCAGCAGCAGCAGCTGTGTCAGCAGCAGCAGCAGCAGCTGTGTCAGCAGCAGCAGCTGCTGTGTCAGCAGCAGCTGCTGTGTCAGCAGCAGCAGCTGTGTCAGCAGCAGCAGCTATGTCAGCAGCAGCAGCTGTGCCAGCAGCCAGCGGAGCTACCGAGGTTTGCGTCATAGCTGGAGACGCCGCTGATGAGGACGTGGTGGAGGAAGAGGGGAGCGCTGTTCATCTTGATGACGCCCGCCAGCAGCTGGCCAAAGTAGTTGACGTACCTGGTGGAGGGATGGGGAGATAGGTGGTGGTGGAGGTGGAGTGGGGGGCAGAGTTGGGAGAGGAGCAGGGTGGGGGGGGGGGTGCACAGCCTCTGAGCATTACACAAAAACCATCAGCAGTTCCTGAGGAACTGCATTGCGAGTCTTCTTGTCACTGTCGAAATCGTTGAGTTTCATTGTCTCACATCTTCTTGTTGCATTTGCTCACGTGCAGTTTGCCGTTCTCTGCGTGCTGTGCACGTGGTGTCCCCCTGTGTGTTCACTCGCTGTGTGTTTCACCCCATTTCCACCTGATGATGAGCACTTGTGTTGCGTTCGAAACGTCTGTGATTTATTTTAATTTAATTTATTGAAATTTTATTTTGATAATTGTTTTTTTACTTTTTTATCTGGCAACAAAACTGACACCATGTGAGACTAGGCTCTAATGCTTACTCCGAGCTCTCATACTCTGATGGTGCATTGTCTTTGAGTTGTGCGGCTTTTGGCGTCATCTGGTCCAACACCATGTGAGACTAGGCTCTAAGGAAAGCTGTCTCGGGTGTGGACCAATCAACTTCAAGGACAGTGCATACATTATCAGAGTTATGTTTTTTGTTTGCATTATGACTGCAGGTATTGTGGTCTATGCAAGCATGACTCCTCGTAAAAAAAGGATGTCAGTTTTGTTGCCAGATAAAAGGGCAAAAAACCAATTATCATATTTTTTACTGGCAAATGAGGTACCAATGGTGTAAATTTTATTGTATTTCTACACACGTGACTTTACCGAAAAAACCAATGAGTACAATGTCTGCAGTCACGAAAGCTTCAATCCGAAATGCGTTTTGAGCAAATGTGACCGGACCGACTGGCACCAGCGAAGCAGTGGATGGCCAAACTGTGTTGGAATCGCTTTCGTGCCGATGAGAGCTCATCAGCACGGCGTGTGCCGCTAATGGCTGTACCGTTGAAATGCGGTGCTTTTTCTGG